GCGTTAACCACTGCGCCACTGCTCCCTACATAGACAAAGATCCCCCGTATAGACTTGACAGACTGTAGGGGGCAAGTGCTGTTAGCGAGCACCGATGAAAGCCGGAACGGCACACGAGGGGGTGGGTGGCCAGCAACCACGCCCAGCCGCCTTTGTCTCCCCAGTGACGATGTTTACACACCGCACCCGGTACTCATTTGAGGCTGAGTCGACCTCAGGGAGGCCAAGGATCGGTTCAGATAATCGTCACCGGTGTTGGCCGTGAGCGGAAATCGAACTTGGGTCGCCAGGTTCATAGCGCAGCGCGCTAACCGCTACACTACCGCTCCCGACACACACAGACACACAGACACACACACAACAACAACCGCCATTCACCACTAAGTGGCGGTGACGTCACCACGACGCTTGTGCCAGGCCATGTGCACCTTGAGGCCACGTGAAGTGTCGAACGCCTGCTAGCAGGAGGTCATGGGGCTGACCCAGGTGCCACAGGTCGACTGACTGAGATGACTGAGACGACTGGCTGATGCACCACCTGTGCCCCCTACTGTGCCAACCTGCTATGCTTTAGCCACCCGGCACTCCGCTCGTTGTTGTGAACGTCGCTCCTCCGCCCTCCGTTGTTGTTGGAGGGCGACTACCTTCAACTGCCCAGCAGCGTCCTCCTCCACTGAGGCCGATCTTGACACCGCTGGTACCAGTCATCGGCAAGTCTATTCAGCTCCACGTCCTCCTGTAACCACGTCACTCCATCTCTTCTCTAGCCCGTGCCGCGCCCGTTTAACCCCCTCGATCCGGCCGAACAAAAGCTGTTTGGGCATGCGGTGGTGGGCATGCGGGCTACATGGCCCAGCCAACGCAGCCTTGCCTGCCGGAGGTGCTCACCGATGGGACTTTGTCCAGATCTGTCGAGGATTTGTGAGCTCCTCACACAATCCAGCCTAGTTAAACCCAGGATTGATTGTAGGCAGGCCAGCCTAAATGTTTCTAACCGGCGAAGATGTTCCATTAGGGTGGTCCACGTTTCGCAAGCGTAGAGAAGGGAGGGAATAACTGTGGCCGAGAAGACCCGAAGCTTCGTGCGAAGCGACAGACCAGGTAGCTTCCACACATCGTTACGCAACCGATGAAAAGATAACGCCGCTCGACTGATTCGGAGTGAGACCTCTGTTGTTAAACCAGAGCCGGTCATGAGCACACTGCCCAGGTATGGGAAACTCTCCACTCTCTCCACAACTGCCCCATCACCAATTGGGAGTTGTGGGGGTAGAGTGCCCGATGGTACAAAATACCCAGGCAGGTGCTTCGTTTTGGTGGGGCTGATGGTAAGGCCCCACCTCTTAGTGGCACACTCCAGTTTCAGCAGCAGCGCCTCCAACTCCTCCTCTAAGTGAGCTGCAATTACCAGGTCGTCGCATACATAACGTGGTTGACCAATAGGGAGCAATCCCTTGACCGCACCCGAGCATCAATCAGCCTCCCATTGTATCTGTACCAGATGGAAATTCCTCCAGTACAGCTACTGAAGGCTTCACGAACTACGTGGTCGAAATCGTTTTTAAATAATGTTGGAGTCAGAGGACATCCCTGTCGCACCCCAAGGTGTAGAGGGAATGGCTCTGACTCCCGGCCACGTAGTTTTACCCGGGCCCGCTCACCATCATGAAAGTCCTTAATGATCGTGAGCAGAGGATCAGGGACTCCAAAAGCACGAAGAACAACCCAGAGCCCAGGCCTACTGATGGTATCATAGGCCTTGACCAGGTCAATGAAGCAGAGATGTAGGTCTTGTTGGAATTCCCTACACCTCTGCTGTAGCAGACGGACAGAAAATATGGCATCTGTGCAGGAACGCCCTTTCCTGAAACCGCATTGGGGCTCCGCAAGCCTCTCCTCAGCGTGCCTGGCAAGGCGATGTTGAATAATCCTTGCCAGGACCTTTCCCGGCACACTGAGGAGTGAGATGCCCCTGTAGTTGTTACAGTCTGTGCCTTCCCCCTTCTTAAAGAGGGGGACCACCAGGGCATCCTTCCAATCTTGCGGAACCCGTCCAGTGGCCCAGACTGTTGTTATGATGTCATGTAGGGCAGTCTGCACACAAACGCCACCCTCCCTCAGCATTTCGCTTGGGAGATAATCTCTGCCCGGTGCCTTTCCTGGTCTCAGACTCTGGATCGCCTTCAGTTCTTCTTCAACGGATGGCGCCTCAGCCAGCCACACACACAGACACACACACAGACACACACACAGCAACCACACACAGCTACATGCACACACGCCTCTTAAGTGCGTGTTCCCACGTCTACAAATAAAAAATAAATATATAGAGGCGCACACAAATAAATAGAGACGGCCAACGATGTTGTTATTAAAATTATATATTATGTTTTTGTACCGTAATTGCACCGTTCACAAATTACACACCACCCACCATCACTCACCACAACAAACACCACCACCACGTGTTTAATCCGCGGGAAAGCCGCCCGTCGCCTTACACACCAACCCACACCCCCCCCAACCCCCGAATTATTCTCGCGGTAATTATATTTGCAAAGGAATTTGGGCCACGAATCGTCTCATTAAAACCGACGGAATAGTCGTAAAACCCCGAGGCGGGCATTGTTTTTTCTGTAGCGGAGAAAAGGCGGCGGTGGAAAATGAGTCAAATAGAAACCATCGGATAGAGAACCCTCCTGTCTCATGCCATACAGAACCCTCTGCCTCGTCCCGTACAAAATCGTCTCGTCCCATACAGAACCCTCGTCTCGTATTGTCCCATAAATAACTCTCGTGCGATCTCATCGGATTCCTCCGGGTTCTCTGGTGTCATCCCAAAGCTAAAAACAACCCCCCCCCCCCCCACACACACAATGTGCCCGGTATTGGTCAAAGTGTCCCAATGCTAAACACATTGCCTGGCAGATGACTACAATGGGGATCACAGCAGCAGCAACAGCAGCAGCTGCGGCGGCATCATCATCACCATCAGTGCCCCCTACCGCTGTGGCCACGTCAGCTGCGGCCCCTGCACACGTGAGACAGTGGACGACCGCCCGGCCGCTTTTAAAAGACAACTGCGCCAATCAGAAATCGTGCCACCGGTTTGAATGGGCGATGGACAACGCCAAATACTGTCCACCTCCTAGCCTGTCCATCTTTTGGTAATAATGAAATAGACAGTTGAACACGGAGACTTTCGCGACCAATATCATCCACAAGAGGGGTTTTTGTTGGGGCGAGATCGCGTAAATGTATAAATGTTGTGTCGTTAGAACCCGCCACCACCCGACACAGCCAACTAGTAAGGGTTGTCACGTGAACAGAACGTGGCCAATTCGTCACTAGTACAGCACTGGTGTATAGTGTGGTGTATTGTGTATAGTAGTGTAGTGTATAGTAGTGTATACTAGTACAGCACTAGTGTATCATAGTGTATAGTGTGGTGTATAGTGTGGTGTATAGTGTAGTGTATAGTGTAGTGTATAGTAGTGTATAGTGTAGTATAGTGTAGTGTATAGTAGTGTATACTAGTACAGCACTAGTGTATCGTAGTGTATAGTGTAGTGTATAGTGTAGTGTATAGTGTGGTGTATAGTGTAGTGTATAGTGTAGTGTACTAGTACAGCACACCGGTGTGTTGGAGAGCCAAGCCACAACATTTACAATCTGAGTACGACGTTTCGCCAGTAATTACAACCAGCTTCATCAGGCGACAGCCACAGACGCGGTCCAACCCAAAACAAACGCTTATGAACAATAAAATAACCTAATAAATAAATATCCGGTGTGTATCCTTCCACCAAAGTAAACGTCATAGTAATAATTGTAGTCGGCCGCTTTACACCAACCACGACCCGTATTGTTGTTTGTAAACGGGGGGGGGGGGGGCACCTTTGTTGTGGCACAGCAACGCGTGGCCGGGTTTCGCCCCCCTCCAGGGGGTCTCCCCGGCAGCATTGCCGTGTTGGGTTGCCGGGCGGTACTGGCGAGGGCACTCCCGGGGCCCGGCTAAACGACGGCAGGGTGGGGAGGGACCTCGCGGTGCCGGGCCTCGCCGGAGCGGAGGGTTCGGGGGTACCAGGGCCGTGCGGTCAGGGGAGGCAGGGGAGGCAGAGCCTCACCTGACATACTCCAATGAAAATAGCCGCTACGAAAAGTTAAACAATTATAATAAATATTAAGATGTTTCCACTGATCTGTTACAAATGTAATTTCTGCACGATTCCAATAATTTTTATCGTCAAAATCGCCAAATTTGCGGAGCTCCGCTGCAAATACAGGGAGAGACGAGAGGTGAGGCAGCGACGCACTCAGCCTCCCCTCTGATTGCGCAACCCCTCAGTAACTGGATAGAGCGCGGGCAATAAGGGCGTGCCTGTTACTATCTCAGTATGTCACCAATGTAATGTTTGTAGACCCCTTCATTTCATGTCCTCGCCTTCCATACTCCAGGTAACTTATTTCATATATGTGTAGAAAGATATTTAAGCTCGCTGGCCTCGTCATGGAACTGCAATGAAAAGGACCAGGGGAGGCAGCTATCACATCTGCCTCACTGAGGGGGACGTGTCTAACACACCCCCCCACTCAGTGAGGCCACGCCCCCTCAGTGAGGCCACACCCCCTCAGTGAGGCCACGCCCCCCTCAGTGTGCGAATCAGGCTCTGACACTAGCCAGTGCCTCCCCAGCCATTGACCTCACCGCACGGCACTGTTCGGTACCATTCCAACATTCTCGTGCGGCTCCAACGGGGATTCTGGTGGGCGTGAAACCGGCCCCGCCCACCACCCACACTGGACCCGCCCACCACCCACACTGGCCCCGCCCACCCCTACAAACTCCGTCCACTCACCTCACACCACGAACCCGGCCCCAAGGTCCCGTTGACCACGCCCACTCTGACTCCCCCCACCCCACCCGACCCCCCCCACCACCCCCACTGGCTCCGCCCACAATCCCCGCTGACCCCTAACTCCGCCCACCCATACTAACTCCGCCCACTCATTATTCACCTACAAACCACTAACCCCACCCCCAAGCCCCGCTGACCACGCCCACTCTTTACTGACCCCCCAGCCCCACAGCACCTCTGACCCCATCCACCCATAGTGACCCAGCTCACATGGCGAACAACCAAAACGCAACTCGTCCCGAAACAAACAAAAAATCCCTGCGAATTAACATGACCCATGAACTTACCCCAAGGTGTCGCACACTGGCGCGCACACACAAAGATCCCATCGTGTGGTCGTAAAAGACTGTTGGGGCCAATTGGTGTTAGTGAACACCCATGAAGGCTGGCGTGGCACACGTGGGAGTGGGTGGCCCAACTTTGTCTCGCAAGTGACGATTGTTACGCACCGCACCAGGAACTCATTTGAGGCTGAGTCGACCTAGGGGAGGACCCACGACCGGTTCAGGTAACAGTCGTCACTCGTGTTGGCGGGAATGGAACTCGGGACTCCGGCCTAGTTTGGCGAAGCGCGCTGACCGCTGTGCCACCGCTCCCCCAACTCTTCACTACTCACGCCAATCCTCACGGCGACGTCACCGTGCCGCAACGGTGACGTCACTGTGACGCAACAGCGACGTCACAGGGGCACTACAATGAGCGACGAGGGCCCGGCTGTCACTCAACAAGACGTTGCTTGCGAAGTTGTGAGACGTCGCTGCTCACTGGCGATTGAACGGTGCCGTTTGTTGCTGGCCGCTTGCCCTTCTGGGCCTTGTTGGTGGCTGCGCTCAGTTACCGTGCCAACAAGTATAAATGAATGTTGTTGCCGCCGCCAACGCTCAGCGGGAGGCGACGGCGCTCGTGAAAGCGCCCAAAGAGTTACACCACTGGTGCCGATTGCGCAATAAAAAATTTCGTGGCTGATCGTCAAATGGGTCCTTGCTCGCCGGTCGTGTGATCAGCCGGTGCCGATCGTGACAATAGCCGGCGCCGATCGTGACATTAGTCGACGGCAATCGTGATATTAGTCGGCGCCGATCGTAAGATTATCTGGGTTCGATCGTGGAATTATCCGGCGCCGAACGTGAGATTATCCCACGCCGATCGTGATATAATCCGGGTCTGATCATGATATTAGCCGGCACTGTCGAAGCAGGGGTCCAGGTGGGAGGCGCTGTCTAAGCCGATGGCGGTGGCGACGGCGCTCACACGACGCGGTCCGACTCCAGCTGGTTCTGCTCGTAGAGCTCGTCGAGTGCGCCGAGCTGGGCACGCATGGCGCCCAGGTACGTGTCCAGGTCGCGGTTCAGCTGCCGGCGGAACTCAGGCCCCGTCGGGTCGCCCTCCCGCGCCGTCAGCGCCGCCAGGAACCCGTCCAGCGCCGGGGCGGCACGCAGGGCCAGCTGCGGAACACCCGGCGCGTCATCGTGAGCCATGATCTATCCACTGCTGGGTGAAGACTTCCAGAGCACAGCCTAACACCAGCTGTGATACCGCCACTACCAGACACCCATCGTCGTCGTCATCATCATCAGCCACGTTCTATCTACTGCTGGGTGAAGCTCTTCCCAAGCAGCCTGTGTGCCAAGTATCAACTACCACACACAGCAAAGATAAAGCTCCCGCATGTAGCCAATAACAGACTTTTGGGGCAAGTTCTGCGAGCGAGTAGCACCTGTAAAGGCCAGCACGGCGCACGAGGGGTGGGTGATGGCGAGAGTGAGTGAGTGAAACGAGCGGGGTGCTGGACAGCTAAAATCCAGGTTGGAACAGGCGGGGGCAATGGCTGGTGCATCTGCCTATCATCTCAGTCAGTCTACCCATGGCACCTGGGTCTGTCCCGTGACCTCTTCCTGCCAGCGCGCCTTCGACACATCACGTGGCCTTAACGTGCACATAGCCTGGCACAAGTGCCGTGGTGAAGTCACCGCCACTTAGTCGTGAACGGCGGTTGTTGCTGCTGCTGCTGTGAGCGGATGCGACTGTGTGATGGCGCGAATGAGCGCGAGTGTGCAGTTGGTGTTCTCTCCCCCTGCTCTGCATTGGGTTTCCCCCCGGGGGTTCTAGGTCAGGCGAGGCACCGGGGGACTCACCGCGAACACCCCCCGCACCACCCAGCCGTGGTAACGCCTCAGAGTCCGCCCGTACGCATTGCCTGTGTGCACACGGGGAGAGAGGTAATCACCCGGCCTCCACCACATCCGCCGGGTCAACCCGCAATCCGTTGCGTCAACTTAAAAACTTTAACCTATTCGCTCGCTCACCATCTCGCTCATTCATTCACCAACTCACCCGCTCATTCTCTCGCCAACTCACTATCTCGCGCATTCACTCCTTCACCCACCGTCTCACTCGCCCACCCGCTCATTCACTCCTTCACCCACCGCCTCACTCGCCCACCCGCTCATTCACTCCTTCACCCACCGTCTCACTCGCCCACCCGCTCATTCACTCCTTCACCCACCGTCTCACTCGCCCACCCGCTCATTCACTCCTTCACCCACCGTCTCACTCGCCCACCCACTCATTCACTCCTTCACCCACCGCCTCACTCGCCCACCCACTCATTCATTCACTCTCTCACTCACCCGCTCCCTCTTGCAACGGAGCGTAACCCTGACCTCCCGTGTGTCTCACATGGCTACACAAAGTAAAGTTGTCAATTGAACACCACAACAACGACTACAACAACAACAACAAGAACAGCAACGAGCGACTCACTGAGCGCCACGTGCAGGTTGGCCTGGCCCTCCCGCACCTCGGTCAGCAGCTCCAGAAGGAACTTGAGGCCCCTGGGCCGAGGGGACGCGGCGGGGAAGGAGAGCAACGCGACGGGGTCAGCGGCAAACGAAGCGGGAAGCACGCCGAGCGCGACGGGCCCGCGACGACGTTACAGCGACGCCGTGACGATGACGCACACTCACCCCCCCTCTCTCTCTCTTCCTTCACAAGCACTCGCCCTCTCACCACGCACGCCTCCCCCTCACACTAACCTCGTCCCCCACATGCGGATCATCGCCCTCTGCTCAACCGCCCATGCTCACCCCCGTCATCACCTTCACCCTCCACGCACTCACCCTGTTGCTCGTCCCTCAGCCTCGCCCCAACTTCCTCCTCCCAAACCACTCGACCCTCACCCTAACCCTCTCCTCCCCACGCGCCCACCCTCACACCCGCGCCGCCCCCGCCCCTCGCCCTCCTCACCGACGCTCCCCCATCCCCCCGCTCACCGCCTGAGCCAGAGCAGCGCCTCGGTGGTGGAGTTGCGCACCAGGGCGGTGCCGCTGCTGAGCTCGTGGCCCACGATGCTCTGCAGCGTGGGGAAGGCCGCCCGGTCCGTCTCGTACTTCTGCGTGATTTTCTGTCCCGTGTCGACCAAAAAACCCGAGTTCTCACCCTGCTCACACCATCATCGCCCGCGCCCCACCCCCGCCGCCCCCCACTGCCGCTAGACTCGTACCCCACACGCCACTCCTGCAGCTGAGACTTTTGTCTCCCGAATTGTACGTATGTTCAACTTCTTTTACACCGTGCCGTAGCCAACCGTGATAATCTGAGGTGCCAACCATGCTAAAACTATGGATGTCTTTGTAGACGTTATACATCTCTGTGTAACTCTATAGATCTCTGTGTAACTCTATGTATCTCTGTGGAACTCTATGGATATATGTGTAACTCTATGGATCTCTGTGTAACTCTATGGATCTCCGTGCACGTCTATCGATCTCTGTAACTCTATGGCTCTCGGAGTAACTCTATGGATCTCTGTGTAACTCTATGGATCTCTGTGTAACTCTATGGCTCTCGGAGTAACTCTATGGATCTCTGTGTAACTCTATGGCTCTCGGAGTAACTCTATGGATCTCTGTGTAACTCTATGGCTCTCTGTGTAACTCTATGGCTCTCTGTGTAACTCTATGTCTCTCGGAGGAACTCTATGGATCTGTGTAACTCTATGGCTCTCGGAGTAACTCTATGGATCTCTGTGTAACTCTATGGATCTCTGTGTAACTCTATGGATCTCTGTGCAATTCTATGGATTTCTGTGTAACTCTATGGCTCTCGGAGTAACTCTATGTATCTCTGTGTAACTCTATGGCTCTCGGAGTAACTCTATGGATCTCTGTGTAACTCTATGGATCTCTGTGTAACTCTATGGCTCTCGGAGTAACTCTATGGATCTCTGTGTAACTCTATGGATCTCTGTGTAACTCTATGGCTCTCGGAGTAACTCTATGGCTCTCGGAGTAACTCTATGGATCTCTGTGTAACTCTATGGCTCTCGGAGGAACTCTATGGGTCTCTGTGTAACTCTATGGATCTCTGTGTAACTCTATGGCTCTCGGAGTAACTGCCACGTCCTGTAAACCGCCACCATTGCCGATGGCCTTGGGGCTGCGGCCGTCCTCGTAACGGGGGTTGCTCGGCTCACCGGGAGGCCTTGCCAGCCGAGACAACAAAGCCTGAGACCCCGCCGTGGCGCCACCGCAAGCGTGCGGTCACCAGCGATGGGCAGGGTTGGGGGTGATGGGCAGGGGGGTCTGGTGGTGGGGGGGGGGGGGGGGCGGCACTTACCCGGATGTTGCCCACGAAGTCGAGTTTGACCGGAGCGAACGCCGTGGGGCCCAGCTTGTCTGGTGAGGGGGAGGAGGGGGGGAGTGGCGACGCAGGCACGCGCAGGGGTCAGGGGCCGCACGTGCACCGCACGACGAGCGGACAATTTTGAACCTCCCAGCAGACCGGGAAGAAACAGAGGCACCGAGGCCCGTGGTGTGAATGGAAGGGTCTAAGCGGCGGTGCTGGCTCGGAGCTCAGTCTCCGACATGGCCATGTTGAACCCCCTAAGAGGAACACCTAGACCCCGGGACTGAACCAAGCACCCTAGGGGTTCAGTGTCTCTGACAGGGCCATGATGAGCCCCCTAACAGAAACACCTAGACCCGTGGGATTGAACCAAGCACCCTAGGGGTTCAGTGTCTCTGACAGGGCCATGATGAGCCCCCTAACAGAAACACCTAGACCCGTGGGATTGAACCTAGCACCCTAGGGGATCAGAGTCTCTGACACGGCCATGATGAGCCCCCTAACAGAAACACCCAGACCGGCAGGATTGAACCAAGCACCCTAGGGGTTCAGAGTCTCTGACAGGGCCATGATGAGCCACCTGCGTGAGAGTGTCGAGCTGTAACTTACCGAGCACGGGGACGATGGAGGCGCACGCCCTCAGGAACGGCTCCACGTGGATCCCTTGCTCGTCCTGCAGCTCCGCGTCGCTGAACCTGGGGCGAGAGACAAAGGTCAAGGTCCCGCATGTAGCCGTTTCATCGACCGTTGGGGGCGAGCGATGTTCGCCGAGCAGCGCCTGTGAGGGCCAGGACGGCACACAAGCGGGTGGCGTGGGCAGCTCGATGCCCGGCCGCCTTCGTCTCTCACCGGTGCCGATCTTTATACGCACACCGCTACTTACGAACGACTTCGGTTACAGAGGTACTGTTCGTAAGTCAATTTGTTCGTAGGTTCAACTTTACTCCTGTCGATTCCAAAGATGTTGCATGGCGTGTACGCTAAACACGGGGAATGGCTTGAAAGTCTCCTATAGGTGTAGATGCCACTGGTTCTTCACGTTCTGCCGATGTAGATGCCACTGGTTCTTCATGTTCTGCAGATGCCACTGGTTTTTCACGTTCTGCCGATGTAGATGTCACTGGTTTTTCACGTTCTGCAGATGTAGATGCCACTGGTTCTTCACGTTCTGCAGATGTAGATGCCACTGGTTCTTCACGTTTTGCAAATGTAGATGCCACCACCGCCATCTATTGGGCGGCGGTTGAACTGACGACTCTCGAACTGGCAACTGGACATCCGGACAGGTTTGTAACTATCTCAGAAAGTTCGTTAGTCAAATGTTCGTAAGTAGAGGAGTCCCTGTACTTATTTCAGGCTGAGTCCACCAAGGGGAGGCTCAGGTCCGGTTCAGGATGTTGGCCGTGACTGGGAATCGAACCTCGGGTTGCCGGGTCCGTAGCGCAGTGCGCTAACCACTGCACCACCACTCCACTATTTACCACAACAACAGATGCAGTGACGTCACCACGGCGCATGTGTCAGGCTAGATGCACCTTGAGGCCATCGCGTGAAGCATGCCTCAATGGCGGGTCACGGGCCAGACCCAGGTGTTGTAGGTTTTTTAAGATGCTCCATTTCACCCATCACCACGCGGTGTTCAACCACCAACACCACCACACCACAGGTGACAACAGCACTCACTCGCTCACCCACGCACTCACCCGTTCATTCACTCGCTCGCCCTCTCACATACTCGGCTCACCCGTCCATCCATGCACTAACTCGCCTATCTGCTCACCCGCTCGCTCACCCCCGCCCACCTCAATTCAAGACACGCGCTAACAACTCGATAACAGTGCTGTTTGTTGCTGGCCGTGTCAACGAGCCGCGTGCTCAGGCTCACTCAGCAGAGCAACCCGGGACGCTCTCACCTCTGTGCCATGACACCGAAGAAGGTCTCCACCGTCTCACCCTGAAAGTCCTCACCCCCGCCGTCCTCTCCGTCACCACCAGGGTCCTCACCCTGACGTTCCTCACCCTCACCCCCAGGGTCCTCACCCCGACAGTCCTCACCCTCGCCCAGTTTCTCCGGATCGAATCCCCCATCGGCCACGCGTCCGGCATCCGAGTTCTCTCCCGCACCGCCCTCCTCTCCACGCCCAGCAGTGCCCACTTCGCCATCGTCACCATCGTTACCATCATCAGCATCATCAAAATGACCATCGTTGATACTATCAGCATCATCGGCAGCAGCATCGGCAGCATCGGCATTAGGATCATCATCGTCGACCGTGGAGTGTTCCCTGTCCCGTTGGTGTTCTCCGGGCCTCCTCGATTCCTGTGTGGAGACGTCCGAAGCCTCGAACCTCGGACACACGTCGCTCCCCGCGATCGCTTCGCGTGGCGTGGTGGCCTGTTGCGGCGTGTCCGCGTCATGTGACGCGGCCTGCTGCTGCACGTCCGCGTCATGTGACACGTCCTGCTGCGGCGTGTCCGCGTCATGTGACGCGGCCTGCTGCTGCGGCGTGTCCGCGTCATGTGACGCGGCCTGCTGCTGCGGCGTGTCCGCGTCATGTGACGCGTCCTGCTGCGGCGCGTCCGCGTCATGTGACGCGTCCTGCTGCGGCGCGTCCGCGTCATGTGACGCGTCCTGCTGCGGCGCGTCCGCGTCATGTGACGCGTCCTGCTGCTGCGGCGTGTCCGCGTCATGTGACGCGGCCTGCTGCTGCGGCGCGTCTGCACGATGCGACTCTCCATCTGGTGCGACTCCGCTCGCTGCGGCCTCCTGAGATGTGGGTTCACGGGGCCCTGCGGCCTTCGGCTCTGGCCGGGATGCTCCCTCGGCTGCAGGGGCCTCCACCGCCTCCTCCTCCACCTCCTCCACGATGGCCCCGACTCGCGTCGACGCCATGGCCAGCCTCCGCCGTGACGAGGAGGAGGACGAGGAGGTTCTGCCGCTCTTGTTGCTGGGCTCGCGCTTGCGGGAGGACGGGGGCGGTCTCGGTAGGGACCTCGCGGTGCTGGGGACACAAGGGTGGACGCAAGGGTGGACGCAAGGGTGGATAGACGCACGGATGGATCCGTGCGGATGGACTCTGGGAGAGAGCGGGCGAACCAATAAGTGGGCGAGTGAATGAGTGAGCGACGGGAGCAAGCGAGCGAGACAGAGTGAACGAGTGAGTGAACGGAGTAAATGAACGAGTGAGCGAACGAGAAGGGGGCGGTGGTGCGGGTGTCGGTGCTATTTCACCTCTCGGCGTGCGACGCGCGAGCCTGACTCTTGACCTGCGAACGAGACGGAGGGGGAGCAGAGCTTCGCGTCACCCAGAGCGGCAACTCGCGTACCCAGCCCCGAACCGCACACACGTTGGGTATGGGCGCTGGCGTTCTCAGAGCGCCGCTGCAAGGCTATCACAGCGGGGGGAGGAGGCGGGAGGCAATATTGCTGTGTGTGTGTGAGATCCTAATGGAATTGGGATGCTTTTTGGCCAATAGATATATTGTGTGTGTAATTAGCTATGGGGAACACCAGAAAATCCTGAGGAAACTCATGCAGAACAGGGGGAGAACATAGAAACTCCACTCACTCATACTCTGCAAAAGAGCTGGGAGATCATACAAACTCCACACAAAGAGGCACCCGAGTCGGGAATCGAACCCGGTTCCTCCTGTGATGCGCGAGCGTCGCCACTGCGCTTGCACAACCCCCCCGGCCGCCACCCCACAAGGCGGGCGACGATGGCGACGAGCGGTGGGGCGAGCGTGTACCCACGTACCCCGGCAGGACGCTGAGGGCTGCGTGGTGTGGGCGGCATCACGGCCGGCGGGGCCAGCTGCTGCTGCAGCTGCTGCTGCTGCGTGGAGGGCCGCACGCTGCTGGCGGCGGTGTGGACGCACTCCTCCAAGGCGCGCACGAACGTGTCGCAGGTGGCGCTCAGCAGGGACGACGCCTCACTCATCCTCTGCCACGCACCACCCGCGCGCAGAGCAACGGCGCAGACACGCTGCCATCCACGCGGCACGCAGCCTGGCTTGCCAACGGCACGTGAACGCGGACTCCCACCTGTTCCGTCTGTGTGGGATAGCGTGTTGCCCCCTCACGCGCGTGGCGGTTATTCTCCCGGGCCACACTCCCGTTTTCCTCCAACACGTACAAACGCAGAGTTGGATTCGTGTTCAATCTTACTGGATATACGGGATTTCTCCTGGCGCTCTGGGTTCTCTTGCCACATGTATAACCACTCAATAATGGAGTGGGCCAAAACGTCTAATGCAGGACCACAGAGCCCCGGGCCATAGTTGGAGATTTGAGTGTCGCGCGCCTCCCTCTCACCGGCACCGTAGGTTTACTCCGGGCGAATCTTTCCACACGTACAAACTCTATTGAAGAGAGTTGGCCAAATATCCCAACATAAGGACATGCAGAGCTTGAGAAATTGCTGGGTTCCGGTTCTGGCTGCCCTTCCTTCCCACCCCACGCACGGCGTTTGCACAATCCGCACGGACAAACTATCCGACAACTGGGAAAGCATCGTCCGGGTGCGTGCGGAGCGGTAGTGCCGTGGTTAGCGCCACGCGGCGCTACAAATCCGGCGACCCGGGTCAACACCAGTGAGGATTATCCGAACCGGTCCTGGGCCTCCCCGAGGTCGACTCGGCCTCAAATGAGTACCTGGTGCGGCGGAGCGTGGTGCTGGCCAACCCACCCCCTCGTGTGCCATTCCGGCCTTCATAGGTACTACTTGCTAAACAGCACTTGCCCCAACAGTCTGTTCAAGGCTATACGTGGATATCTGTGTCTGTGTGCGCGTGAGTGCGTGCGTTTGCACGACGGTTTTCCGTAACCGCGCGTCTCACCTGCACGTCGGGCCGCGGCTCCTGGATGCCCTGGCGGATGAGCGACACCTGCTGCGTCATGAGGTCGTAGTAGAGACGCATCTCGGACATCTTGGAGCACAGCGAGTCGCTCGCCTCCATGATTTCTGCTCGCGAGTGCAAAAAAAAAAAAACACCCAACGGACGTCAGAATGAGAATGTTTATTGCAGACTGGCGATATCAAATGAGCTACAAAGCTCTTTTGTCACAGATGTCCAGTATGGGCGGGTCAGCAGAGGATGTCCTCGAATTTGAGATGCAAATTCGCAACAATAACACAAAGCATTTCTAAACACGTAGATTTTTGTACCCCATATTACACGGGTCATAACTTATCTGCGAGGCCGTGTAACAATTGGGACGAATGCGTGTTGCAAGAACGCGCTCCCACCACACGCCACAGCTCAAACTAAATCGTCGCGGAATGACTTCCTGGCCCGTGCCGTCCACAAGAAGCCTGGCGCAGATTCAAGCAGGCACCGTCCACATTTCTAATAACTTTAACTAAACAATTTTGGATTTTACTAGGCAAGGCCCACTGCGCTATATAGCTATTTTTCAGAAGCGGCCTAGCCATCACAATTGATAGCTCAACGAAGTAGGCTTATCATCATCATCACGTGTAAATTTTTAGCAAGCAGCCAAATACTCTGAACGCGTGACGTTGATTCTAAATGTGGAGGGGAAACAACTGGAGGTTCCGGAGAAAACCCCACAGGGGGAGAGCGAAACACGCAAACCTCCAAACGTACAGCGGGCATCAGGGTTGGGATCGAACCCAAGACATCGCGTGCGGTGGCAAGGTCATGAGACTCTCTCTACAACCACCCCCACAGTAAGCGAAGTCAAAATGATAATAAATCAGCCGCGTCGCTAAACACTCGTACACCACGAGGCAATTGAAAAACTCCGTTCGGCTGCGTCAGGTGGCAGAGGGTTCTTAACAACACAGATTTTGCGAGGTCGTTCATTACGCAGTGGGCTGCGCTGTAAAGGGCGTGTCCAGACACACAGCAGGCGTGTCCAGACACAGCAGGCGTGTCCAGACACACAGCAGGCGTGTCCAGACACAGCAGCCGTGTCCAGACACACAGCAGGCGTGTCCAGACACAGCAGCCGTGTCCAGACACACAACAGGCGTGTCCAGACACACAGCAGGGGTGTCCAGACACAGCAGGGGTGTCCAGACACAGCAGCCGTGTCCAGACACACAACAGGCGTGTCCAGACACACAGCAGGCGTGTCCAGACACACAACAGGCGTGTCCAGACACACAGCAGGCGTGTCCAGACACACAGCAGGCGTGTCCAGACACACAGCAGGCGTGTCCAGACACAGCAGGCATGCCCAGACGCACAGCAGCCGTGTCCAGACACACAGCAGGCGTGTCCAGACACAGCAGGCGTGTCCAGACACACAGCAGGCATGTCCAGACACAGCAGGCGTGTCCAGACACAGCAGGCGTGTCCAGACACAGCAGGCGTGTCCAGACACACAACAGGCGTGTCCAGACACAGCAGGCGTGTCCAGACACAGCAGGCGTGTCCAGACACACAACAGGCGTGTCCAGACACAGCAGGCGTGCCCAGACACACAACAGGCATGCCCAGACACACAGCAGGCGTGTCCAGACACAGCAGGCGTGTCCAGACACAGCAGGCGTGTCCAGACACACAGCAGGGGTGCCCAGACACACAGCAGGGGTGTCCAGACACACAGCAGGCGTGTCCAGACACACAGCAGGGGTGCCCAGACGCACAACAGGGGTGTCCAGACACAGCAGGCGTGTCCAGACGCACAGCAGGCGTGTCCAGACGCACAACAGGCGTGCCCAGACGCACAGCAGGCGTGTCCAGACACAGCAGGCGTGTCCAGACGCACAGCAGGGGTGTCCAGACACACAGCAGGCGTGTCCAGATGCACAACAGGCGTGTCCAGACACACAGCAGGCATGTCCAGACACACAACAGGCGTGCCCAGACACACAGCAGGGGTACCCAGACACACAACAGGCGTGCCCAGACACACAGCAGGCGTGTCCAGACACACAACAGGCGTGTCCAGACACACAGCAGGCGTGTCCAGACACACAGCAGGTGTGTCCAGACACACAGCAAGGGTGTCCAGACACACAACAGGAGTGTCCAGACACACAGCAGGAGTGTCCAGACACACAACAGGAGTGTCCAGACACACAGCAGGAGTGTCCAGACACACAACAGGCGTGTTCAGACACACAACAGGAGTGTCCAGACACACAGCAGGCGTGTCCAGACACACAACAGGCGTGTCCAGACACACAGCAGGCGTGTCCAGACACACAGCAGGCGTGTCCAGACACACAGCAGGCGTGTCCAGACACACAACAGGCGTGTCCAGACACACAACAGGCGTGTCCAGACACACAACAGGCGTGCCCAGACGCACAGCAGGCGTCTGCCCAGACACACAGCAGGAGTGTCCAGACACACAACAGGCGTGTCCAGACACACAACAGACGTGTCCAGACACACAGCAGGCGTGTCCAGACACACAACAGGCGTGCCCAGACGCACAACAGGCGTGTCCAGACACACAGCAGGCGTGTCCAGACACACAACAGGCGTGTCCAGACACACAGCAGGCGTGTCCAGACACACAACAGGCGTGCCCAGACGCACAGCAGGGGTGTCCAGACACACAGCAGGCGTGTCCAGACACACAACAGGCGTGTCCAGACACACAACAGGCGTGTCCAGACACACAGCAGGGGTGCCCATACACACAGCAGGGGTGCCCAGACACACAGCAGGGGTGCCCAGACACGTCCTTGTTCCTCGACAACTCAATCGCGACCAACTTGGAAACATCACAGCAACAAACAAAAAAGGGAAACTGTGACTCGCCGTAGCATCATTGCGCCGTGATCTAATTTCTAATCCGATCGTCTATTTATAGAGTGCCTTAACTCAAGGCGCCTGACGTTCAGCTCACAAAACGATGACAGGATGGAATTGTCAGGTTGACGAGAAGGGGGGGGGGGGGGGGTGGACGCTGGCGTGCTACGAGCGGAGAGGAATGAGTGACGGTGACAGAGGGCGGAGGAGAGAAGGAGGAGGAGGGGGGGGGGGGGGCGCTCGCCTTTCTCTTTGCGCGTGCGGCTGTCGGTGAGGCAGGCCTTGGCGGAGCCGAGCGCCACCACCCAGCACTGCCTCTCCGCGGCGCTCGTCGTGCGCAAGTAGAAGTGCTGCTCGCCGGGGATGACCAGCTCCAAGCGAGAGTCATCGCTCGGGCACACTGTGGGGTGGTGGTGGGGGAGGGTACGGGGTGGGAAGGGGGGGGGGGCATGGAGAGACACGTGGGGGAGGGGGGGGGTAACAAGCAGTGGATAGGAAAAAAAAACAGAGTGGGGGGGGGGGGGTTAATGAGCTCGAGCTCCTAACGTTTTCATTTCAAAGGTATTGGTGCAGCACTGTAGTTGCTCAGTCAGAACACCGCTGACGGAAGGGACGCCACTGCAAAGGGTAATTCGCCCTCATCTTCTTCGTCGCACAAACACACACACGCACATTAATGGCACAACACAAGGCACAGCAGGAGGAGTAAAAATAATTATAATAATCATTATTATAATAATAGGGTTTTTCCCCTTTTTCTTGGCAAAACTGAAACCTTTTTACAAGGATTCATGTCTGCATAAACCACAATACTTGCAGTCAAAATCATTATTAGAATTTTTTCTTCTTCCCCGCACTTACGATTAGCACGGTTGGCTACGTACGGTGCGAAAGAAGTTCAACATGCATACGATAATCAATAATAACATAAACAGTTTTCTGAAGCGCAATTCGCACAAATACCATCAAAGCGCTTTAGCTTTACTGTACAAGCTTAAGTTGCGGAGGAAAGCACGTTGCACTAATCTTATTCTTTCGTATGGATTCATAGCAGCAGATTAAAGATGTAATTTTAGATTTGTTATCCACTCAACTGTCCATTCAGGCGCAGAGTGGATGTTGTCCGTTCCTCCTTTACAGGAGTAGGAACTAACACATTTACAGGGTGGTTCATAATGGGCTTTTTTAAACACTTATATGGGACTATCGTTTTTAATGAAAGAAGAACGGATAATACACTTTCACATGATAACAAATGTATGTTTAATAGCTTCAAAAAGTCAAAGAGTCTCCCACTTGTTCGCCATCGTTGTCAACACGTGGCCTGGAACCTTCTCCAGAGCCCGGAGGCACATTTCTCGTGGTATTGTTGCAAATTCTCGGAAGTGTTTACAATTTTTTGATGCGCCCTGTATATATTCCATCAAGGTCCTTAAGACCTCGTGACCTCCAACTGCTCAGCAATCCCCAGGTCTAGGTTGCGCTCTTATGGTGTGCCGAGTTTTTGTCAGCATGGCACCCAGGGCTATGGAACGCCTCACCACGTGAAATCAGGCGATCGGAGTCGGTCGATATATTTAAGTCTGCTTTGAAAACCCATCTCTTTAAACTGAGCCCTTCCCTCTTTAGTCTGGGCCGGTTGACCCCTGGGTTCAGTTTTTTTGTTTCCTGCTTCTCATGCATTGCGCATTGGGATTCCTGGGACGGAATGGCGCAATTAAACATTTATTATTAAACTAAACACCGACGAGTTTCAAAGACTAGCGGAGCTGTCGTCCGTCCGGTGGGTGACCCCCGACCCTCACCCCCTGACCCCCCCCCTCGACCCTCACCCCCTGACCCCCCCCGACCCTCACCCCCTGACCCCCCCCCCTCGACCCTGACCCCCCCGACCCTCACCCCCCCCATCACTACCCGCCCCCCACCCCCGCCCCCCACCTTGGATCTCGCACACGGCCATCTTCAGGCTGCCCTTGCTGCCCTTGCGCACGTCCTCCTTGTGGTCGTAGTAGGACAGCACGCCGCCGTCCAGCACGAACCAGCGCGGCTGCCAACCTGCACACACCACACGCGACACCAGCACACACATGAAACACACACACATGAAACACACACGGCACGAGCACACACACTCGACCACACACACGACACCAGCACACACACACGACACGAACACACACACGACACGAACACACACGACAACAGCACACACACACATGACACGAGCACACACACACATGACACGAGCACACACACACGACACCAGCACACACACATGAAACACACACGACACGAACACACACACACACGACACGAACACACACACACACACGACACGAACACACACACACGACACACACACACAGACACACACGACACGAACACACACACGACACGAACACACACGACAACAGCACACACACACATGACACGAGCACACACACGACACACACACACGACACGAACACACACACGACACGAACACTCACGACACGAACACACACACGACACGAACACTCACGACACCAGCACGCACACACACGACACGAACACACTCACGACACGAACACACACTCGACCACACACACGACACGAGCACACACACACGACACGAACACACACATGGGGCACAGATCAGATCAGATGGATGGCTTCCAACATTCGTAACTGTTTCAATCGCTTATGGCGCCCCGCCGCGCATTCGTCGCTGGCCCTCGTAGTGTCATCTTTCGAGAATCTGCGTTTAGACCGCAAGAAATCCGGTGAGCTGTGAAGCTCTTTTTCCTGCGCTCACCAGAATGACTCGGGAGCCGCGAGGAGGCGGCCGCGGACAAGCTCAAGTTCGGTCACAAGCTCTGCGGTCCTCTATATGTACGGCTGCTATGGCCAAAGGATCAGGAGGCGCGTGCAGCGTGTAATTAAGACGTGATCACTCGCGTGGCTGTGTGGGATGTGAACAAAACAGATCGGCAATGTCTCCTTCGCACATCCTTTTCTCTCCGTGTAAAAACAAACAATAGTGCTTCTTACACAACCCATCATCCGCACGGTCTTTCTGGTTCTTAATTCAAAGTGAGCCTCACCTCCTCTGCTGCTGCTGCTAATAGTTCATAGTTCAATTTATTTGGTAATGAGACACCACCTTGCGCTCCCGAGTTTGCCCGTCTTAAATCGATAACGCCAATATTACTTTGCGTTCCTGCATGAATGGGGAAGGACCTCTCTCTGTACGGTGCTCGGCTCAATTCCGGCGCGCACCAAATGATAGTGTTACCACCACACGTTCGTTATGGGACATCAATTATTGTCCTGTGGATAAACCGGCCCCGGCCATGAGAACGGGGAATTTGCAGCACTGGCTAACTGCGCCTGTGAAGAGGGGACTAGCGCCCCCTCACGCTAGTTTGCGCGGGAAACATTTTAAATTTAAGTTTTTACATGTAAAAAAAAACTCCAGGAGGAGATGGGGGGGGGGGGACCGAGCCGCCTCGCTCGTTCGGGAAGGCAGCACCTGCCCGGCAGGACGACCTAGGCGAGACCGAGGTCTCAACCCACACCCGAGAGGCCTAGTGACCCGGAGCGGGGCCGCCGAGGCGCGAAGTGGCAACCATCCCTGAGGCGTGCCGCTCGCTGCAGAGAGGCAAAAGACCCCGGGCGCGGAAGCAAGAAGCGAGCGGGCGCGCGCGGGGCGCCGAGGAGTGGATCCGCGGTACCGTTGTAGTAGTTTGTCCATTTGTAGAGCACACCCTCCATTGCAAACCGCGCCGACGTGGAAGGCGGAAGTACACAAACCGTGACGTGCGGCGTCACTTAACGCGCTGGCGGCCATCTTTGTAAGGGGGAAGAGGTGGAGGGCTTTTAATGCATTGGTGGTGGCCATTTTGCTCGGGGAAGAGGCCAAAATACGGTGCCTCGGCGGCCATTTTCCTAGTGGAAGAAGCCAAACAGTGCATCGGCGGCCATCTTGCTAAGGATTAAAGGGCCATATACGGTGCCTCAGCGGCCATCTTGCTTGGGGAAGAGGCCCATACACAGTTTTCATAGTTTTTCATAGTTTCATTTATTTGGTATAGCCCTGTGAGCCATTCGGCTCTTGAATCGGGTGCAACCGCAACAAACAAAAAAAACATGAACAAGAAAAACATCTTAAAGTGACTTTGTGACTGTGCAAACAGAAATTCCAGGAAAAAAAAAAAACATCAAAATATTCCTGAAATAGCACCGTACACCAACGCTGTGTGCAAAAAATCCCAGTGGGATGCAAGTCAACAACAACAATAAAACTTAGACTAAGGCCATCAGTCTAACTCCGTACTACAATAAACACGGTGCCTGGGTGGCCACATTGCTAAGGGAAGAGTGCTAAGGGAAGAGTGCCAAATTTAATGAGAGGCGGGGAGCGATGTTATGTCCAGTTGCTGTGGTCCATCCACTGCTGGATGAAGGCTTCGCCAAGCCGTCGCCATACCCCTGCGATTTAAATATCCAACCTCGCGACTCGTCGGTGTTTTATGACGTCATTCATCCCTTAGAAGAGTTACATCATCTTCGTGACGCAACAAAAATGATATCGCGACGCAGAACTTGACGTCATTTACAATGTCAGTGGCTGTAGGAAAAATCCAATGAGCTATGAAGCTCGATTTAAAGCTTTCGTGACTGCAAGGATTCATCTTCTTTGGTTCTTTCGGTAAAATCACGTAGAATGAGAATGAAATAATACATTAATACAATAAAATAGCATTGAAGCTCTGTCGTCCCGACAGGTCTCTTCCTTTCACCTGAAGAAGGCCACTTGTGTTGTGGCCGAAACGTCGTGAGAATTTAATTGTTTTTATTTTATTAATTTATTATTTTATTCTCATTCTACGTGACTTTACCGAAAGAACCAAATAAGAGCTATGAAGCTCTTTCTTTCACAGATGTCCAGCAGGGGCCACGGGGTGAGGACGTTACAACAACAGTACAAACACGATACAGTAGTAGTGCAAGGTACAAGCAAGGTAAATAAATCACTCAAACACAAACAAATACAACACGAAACCATCCCCAGCCTACCACTGAGGCACTCACTTATTTTTCAGAAGCTACCTGGCTTCCACAAATGATAAATGCTGTCCTGTACTTTTAGATATTTTTATATATACGGAGATATACGTGGGAGACATACACACATTGTCCGCTTATTTGTGGCCTATTTAGTTTACCCCACAACGACTCAAGCGATTACGCAAATTGTGATGGGGCCGTCCATAAATGACGTCACGCACCTGGGGGGGGAGGGGGTCAGACATTTGTAACGATGTGTGACGAGGGGGGGGATTTGAGAAATGTGACGTCACGTCAAATTGCGCAAGTTTAAATAAATATAGACAACACGTTCTACTTGATTAAATTTACTTTTTAATACAAGTTTTCTCCTACATCAGAGTGCAGCGCCACATTAAATACGCACTACAATGACAATAGTTTCAAGCGATTTGAAGCATTTTTTTTGGGAGGGGGGGGCAGAGCTTTGTGACGTCATATTTGAGGGCGGGGTCTGACTTTTTGTGACGCCGTGTGACGAAGGGGGGGGGGTCAAAAATCATCCAAAATCGCGTGACGTCATTTATGGACGGCCCCTATACACGACACTGGCGATGTATGAATCGGAATACCGTTATGCTAATCGCGCGTGACGTCACACACCCCCATCCCGTGACGTCACGCCTTGCCACGCACGCCGCCCCGGCTGAGGATCGGCCGAGCTCGCCCCCCCTCGCTTCTCACGCCGCGAGCTTGCGATGGACTCGGCTCGCTCGCCGCCGCCGCCGCTGCCCCTGCTGCTACTGCTGCCCCTGCTGCTGCCCCTGCTGCTGCTGCCGGAGCCGCGATCGGCGGCAGCCGCCAAGATCCCCGAGGCGGAGGTGAAGGTGGAGGTGACGCACCGGCCATTCCTGTGCCATCGCAAGAGCAAGCGAGGCGACCTCGTGGCGCTGTCCTACCGCGGGTTCCTCGAGAACGGCACCCGCTTCCACTCCACGTGAGACACCACGGGGGGCGGGGGGGGCCAGGGGGGGAGGGGGGAGGGGGGAGGTGGGGGTGGAGGGTGGGGGGGGGGAGGTGGAGGGTGCGGGAGGAGGTGGAGGGTGGGGGGGGAGGTGGAGGGTGGAGGGGGAGGTGGAGGGTGGGGGAGGTGGAGGGTGGGGGGGGTGGAGGGTGGGGGGGGAGGGTGGGGGGGGAGGGTGGGGGGGGAGGGTGGGGGGGGGGAGGTGGAGGGTGGGGGGGGAGGTGGAGGGTGGGGGGGGAGGGGTGGGGGGGGGGGAGGTGGAGGGGGAGGAGGGTGGGGGGGGAGGTGGAGGGGGGGAGGGTGGGGGGGGGAGAGGGGGGGGGAGAGGGGGGGGAGAGGGTGGGGGGAGGTGGAGGGTGGGGGGGGGGTGGAGGGTGGGGGGAGGTGGAGGGTGGGGGGAGGTGGAGGGTGGGGGGGAGGTGGAGGGTGGGGGGGGGTGGAGGGTGGGGGGGGGTGGAGGGGGGGGGGGGGTGGAGGGTGGGGGGAGGGGAGGTGGAGGGTGCGGGGGGAGGTGGAGTGTGGGGGGGTGGAGGTGAGGGATGTGAGGTGGGGCACGTCGCAGAGGGTGAGGTGATGGAGTGGCGATGTGAGGGTAGCTGGAGAGGTGAGGCGAGCGAGGTGCGAGGGGAGCAGGTGAGTAGATGGATAGAGTGGAGGTTCGGTGAAGGAAGGGCTGTGAGCAGGTGAGTGCTGCGTAAGCTGCGGTGTAAATATTAAGTAACGATGATGTGACTGATGGTTTTTGCATGGTTGTGACGATGATAATGATGATGGCATGGTTGTGACGATGATGATGGCATGGTTGCGGTGATGATAATGATGATGGCATGGTTGTGACGATGATGATGGCGTGGTTGTGGCACTGACGATGATGGTAATAGCGTGGCGATGATGATTGTGGTGGCGTAGTTGTGGCGATGCCGATGGTGACGATGGCCTTGGCGATGACGACGTGGACGATGTGGACGATGTGCGCGCCCCCCTCCGCCCCTCCCGCCACCTCCTCCCATCACAGCGACGAGCACAACAATGGTCACCCCGTGTGGGTGACGCTGGGGGTGGGCGAGGTGATCCGGGGCTGGGACCGCGGCCTCGTGGGCATGTGTGTGGGCGAGAAGCGGCGCCTCAACGTGCCGCCCGCCCTCGCCTACGGCAAGGAGGGCAAGGGTGAGGGCCCGTCCAGCTGCACGTCGCCACGACGTGCCGGGTCCACGACTAGGACTCTAGACTCCACTACCGCCAGCGGCGTAGTGACAACATTATCAGTGACGTAGTGACAACATTATCAGTGACGTAGTAACTACATTATCAGTGGCGTAGTGACTACATTATCAGTGGTGTAGTGACTACATTATCAGTGGTGTAGTAACTACATTATCAGTGGCGTAGTGACTACATTATCAGTGGTGTAGTGACTACATTATCAGTGGTGTAGTAACTACATTATCAGTGGCGTAGTGACTACATTATCAGTGGTGTAGTAAACTACATTATCAGTGGTGTAGTAACTACATTATCAGTGGTGTAGTGACTACATTATCAGTGGTGTAGTGACTACATTATCAGTGGTGTAGTGACTACATTATCAGTGGCGTAGTAACTACATTATCAGTGGTGTAGTAACTACATTATCAGTGGTGTAGTAAACTACATTATCAGTGGTGTAGTGACTACATTATCAGTGGTGTAGTAACTACATTATCAGTGACGTAGTAACTACATTATCAGTGGTGTAGTAAACTACATTATCAGTGGTGTAGTAAACTACATTATCAGTGACGTAGTAACTACATTATCGGTGGTGTAGTAACTACATTATCAGTGACGTAGTAACTACATTATCGGTGGTGTAGTAACTACATTATCAGTGACGTAGTAACTACATTATCAGTGGTGTAGTAACTACATTATCAGTGGTGTAGTAAACTACATTATCAGTGGTGTAGTGACTACATTATCAGTGGTGTAGTAACTACATTATCAGTGGTGTAGTAACTACATTATCAGTGGCGTAGTGACTACATTATCAGTGGTGTAGTAAACTACATTATCAGTGGTGTAGTAACTACATTATCAGTGGTGTAGTAACTACATTATCAGTGGTGTAGTAAACTACATTATCAGTGGTGTAGTAAACTACATCATCAGTGGTGTAGTAACTACATTATCAGTTGTGTAGTAAACTACATTATCAGTGGTGTAGTAACTACATTATCAGTGACGTAGTAACTACATTATCAGTGGTGTAGTAAACTACATTATCAGTGGTGTAGTAAACTACATTATCAGTGACGTAGTAACTACATTATCGGTGGTGTAGTAACTACATTATCAGTGACGTAGTAACTACATTATCGGTGGTGTAGTAACTACATTATCAGTGACGTAGTAACTACATTATCAGTGGTGTAGTAACTACATTATCAGTGGTGTAGTAAACTACATTATCAGTGGTGTAGTGACTACATTATCAGTGGTGTAGTAACTACATTATCAGTGGTGTAGTAACTACAATTTCAGTGGCGTAGATAATACATTATCAGTGGTGTAGTACCAACATCATCAGTGGTGTAGTAACTACATTATCAGTGGTGTAGTAATGACATTATCAGTGGTGTAGTAAACTACATTATCAGTGGTGTAGTAAACTACATCATCAGTGGTGTAGTAACTACATTATCAGTGGTGTAGTAACTACATTATCAGTGGTGTAGTAACTACATTATCAGTGGTGTAGTAAACTACATTATCAGTGGTGTAGTAAACTACATTATCAGTGGTGTAGTAACTACATTATCAGTGGTGTAGTAACTACATTATCAGTGGCGTAGTGACTACATTATCAGTGGTGTAGTAAACTACATTATCAGTGGTGTAGTAACTACATTATCAGTGGTGTAGTAACTACATTATCAGTGGTGTAGTAAACTACATTATCAGTGGTGTAGTAAACTACATCATCAGTGGTGTAGTAACTACATTATCAGTGGTGTAGTAACTACATTATCAGTGGTGTAGTAACTACATTATCAGTGGTGTAGTAACTACATTATCAGTGGTGTAGTAACTACATTATCAGTGGTGTAGTGACTACATTATCAGTGGTGTAGTAACTACATTATCAGTGGTGTAGTAACTACATTATCAGTGGCGTAGTGACTACATTATCAGTGGTGTAATAACCACATTATCAGTGACGTAGTAACTACATTATCAGTGGTGTAGTAACTACATTATCAGTGGTGTAGTAACTACATTATCAGTGGTGTAGTAACTACATTATCAGTGGTGTAGTAACTACATTATCAGTGGTGTAGTAAACTACATTATCAGTGGTGTAGTAACTACATTATCAGTGGTGTAGTAACTACATTATCAGTGGTGTAGTAACTACATTATCAGTGGTGTAGTAACTACATTATCAGTGGTGTAGTAACTAGATTATTAGTGGTGTAGTAACTACATCATCAGTGGTGTAGTAACTACATTATCAGTGGTATAGTAACTACATTATCAGTGGTGTAGTAACTACATTATCAGTGGTGTAGTGACTACATCAGTGGTGTAGTAACTACATTATCAGTGACGTAGTAACTACATTATCAGTGACGTAGTAACTACATTATCAGTGGTGTAGTGACTACATTATCAGTGGTGTAGTAACTACATTATCAGTGGTGTAGTGACTACATTATCAGTGGTGTAGTAACTACATTATCAGTGGTGTAGTGACTACATTATCAGTGGAGTAGTAACTACATTATCAGTGGTGTAGTAACTACATTATCAGTGGTGTAATAACCACATTATCAGTGGCGTAGTAACTACATTATCAGTGGTGTAGTAACTACATTATCAGTGGTGTAGTAAACTACATTATCAGTGACGTAGTAACTACATTATCAGTGGTGTAGTAACTACATTATCAGTGGTGTAGTAACTACATTATCAGTGGTGTAGTGACTACATTGTCAGTGGTGTAGTGACTACATTATCAGTGGTGTAGTAACTACATTATCAGTGACGTAGTAACTACATTATCAGTGGTGTAGTGACTACATTATCAGTGGTGTAGTAACTACATTATCAGTGGTGTAGTAACTACATTATCAGTGGTGTAATAACTACATTATCAGTGGCGTAGTAACTACATTATCAGTGACGTAGTAACTACATTATCAGTGGTGTAGTAACTACATTATCAGTGACGTAGTAACTACATTATCAGTGGTGTAGTAACTACATTATCAGTGGTGTAGTGACTACATTATCAGTGGTGTAGTGACTACATTATCAGTGGTGTAGTAACTACATTATCAGTGACGTAGTAACTACATTATCAGTGGTGTAGTGACTACATTATCAGTGGTGTAGTAACTACATTATCAGTGGTGTAGTAACTACATTATCAGTGACGTAGTAACTACATTATCAGTGGTGTAGTAACTACATTATCAGTGGTGTAGTAACTACATTATCAGTGACGTAGTAACTACATTAGCAGTGGTGTAGTAACTACATTATCAGTGGTGTAGTAACTACATTATCAGTGGTGTAGTAACTACATTATCAGTGACGTAGTAACTACATTATCAGTGGTGTAGTAACTACATTATCAGTGGTGTAGTAACTATATTATCAGTGGTGTAGTAACTACATTATCAGTGACGTAGTAACTACATTATCAGTGGTGTAGTAACTACATTGTCAGTGGTGTAGTAACTACATTATCAGTAGTGTAGTGACTACATTATCAGTGGTGTAGTAACTACATTATCAGTGGTGTAGTAACTACATTATCAGTGACGTAGTAACTACATTATCAGTGGTGTAGTAACTACATTATCAGTGGTGTAGTAACTACATTATCAGTGGTGTAGTAACTACATTATCAGTGGTGTAATAACTACATTATCAGTGGCGTAGTAACTACATTATCAGTGACGTAGTAACTACATTATCAGTGGTGTAGTAACTACATTATCAGTGGTGTAGTAACTACATTATCAGTGACGTAGTAACTACATTATCAGTGGTGTAGTAACTACATTATCAGTGGTGTAGTAACTACATTATCAGTGGTGTAGTGACTACATTATCAGTGGTGTAGTGACTACATTATCAGTGGTGTAGTAACTACATTATCAGTGACGTAGTAACTACATTATCAGTGGTGTAGTGACTACATTATCAGTGGTGTAGTAACTACATTATCAGTGGTGTAGTAACTACATTATCAGTGACGTAGTAACTACATTATCAGTGGTGTAGTAACTACATTATCAGTGGTGTAGTAACTACATTATCAGTGACGTAGTAACTACATTAGCAGTGGTGTAGTAACTACATTATCAGTGGTGTAGTAACTACATTATCAGTGGTGTAGTAACTACATTATCAGTGACGTAGTAACTACATTATCAGTGGTGTAGTAACTACATTATCAGTGGTGTAGTAACTATATTATCAGTGGTGTAGTAACTACATTATCAGTGGTGTAGTAACTACATTATCAGTGACGTAGTAACTACATTATCAGTGGCGTAGTAACTACATTATCAGTGGCATAGTAACTACATTATTGGTGGCGATGGTGGTAACGGCGATGGTGTCGATGGTGGCAATGACGATAACGATGAAGGTGACGAGGATGACGACGATAACGACAAAACCCATAATGACAGTGATGATGATGATGATCCCTGTGCGGCGTGCAGGGCGAATCCCGCCGGACGCGACGCTCGTCTTCGACATGGAGCTGCACGAGATCCGGAACGGCCCCCGCTCGCACGAGTCCTTCCAGGAGATGGACCTCGACGACGACTGGAAGCTGTCGCGCATCGAGGTCTCGCGAGGACAAAGATCACGACACTGACGACGAAGACGACGACGAAGACGATGACAATTACAGCGATGACGATGATGGGGCTCCTTCGGCCACGCAGGCCTTGCCCTGCTGACTGACAAGAGGGCAGGCACGTCGCATTAGTTCATGAGCGCTTGCCATGCTGATGAATCTCGGTGAAGTCAAACCCCTTTACATTGAGGCACCTGGTGGTACTGCCGATGCTGCTGCTGCTGTTGATGATGCTGATATGACCAGAGATAATGTTGCCGATGAAGTTGCTGCTGCTGATGATGATGTTGCTGATGACGCTGAAGCTGTTGCCGATACTAACGATCGCGCCGATGCTAAAAACGAACTATGTTGAAGATACCGATGTCCCTGCCGATGATGTTGACCTCACGGAAACTAATCACGGATGCTGATACTAACGGCGGTGATGTTGATAATTATACCGTCGCCGATGCTGCCGATGATGCTGATGGATGTCGCCCTGCCCCACCAGGTGGAGGAGTACCTCCGCAAGGAGTTCTCCAAGTCCGGGGTGAACCACAACGAGTCGTACCAGGGCCTCGTGGAAGACATCTTCACCAAGGAGGACGAGGATGAGGACGGCTTCATATCGGCACGCGAGTTCACCTACCGGCACGACGAGCTGTGACGCGCGAGAGCGGCGGGGGAGCGAGCGGGCGGGCGAGTGGGTGGGCGAGCGGGTGAAGTGGGCAAGTGTGTGCGTAAGTGGTTGGGTGAGTTGGCATCGTAAGGTGGCGCATCGGCCAGTCACCTAAGGCGGTCGACCTATGGTCCCTGGGTCTGTACCGTGACCTCCTGCAAGCGGGCGTTCGAGACTTGAACCGGCCCTAAAGTGCACCTGGCCTGGCGCAAGCGCGTGGTGACGTCACAGACACTTAGTGGCGAATGGTGGTTGTTGTTGTTCTTGGGCGAGTTGAACGAGTGGACGAGTGAGTGGAGTGAGTGGGCGAATGAGTTGAGTGGGTGAGCTGGTGGAGTGGGTGAGTGTGTAGGTAAAATGGTTTGGTGAGTTTAATCAGTGAATGAGCAGATGATTGAGTGGAATGAGTGAATGTGCGAGCGGGTGGGTGAGTTAGTGAGTGGAGTGAGTGGCCGAGTGGGTCTGTAACTGAGTGAGAAAGTGATTGAGTGAGTGGATGGGTGAGCAACTCGGTGAGTGATTAAGTGGGCGAGTGATTTGGCCAAGGCCTGTGGGCGCTAAGGGCAATACATCTCCTTTCTGTGATACAGAATACTACTCAAAATCTGAAATTGGCCCACTGCCCGAAACAGTGGCCAGCTGCTGAGAAGTACGGTTAAATATCCCTCACGGCCCGCGTGGGGAGTGGTGGTGCAGCGCTACGAACCCAGCGACCGGGGTTGGATTCCCACTCGCGGCCAACACCGGTGACTATTATCTGAATCGGTCCTTGACCTCCCCTAGGTCTACTCAGCCTGAAGGCCATTATCGCCACTCGGGAGACAATAGTGGCCGGGCGTAGTGCTGGCCACCCACCACCTCGTGTGCCGTGGTGCCGGTCTTCATAGGTGCTATTTGCTTGCCCCAACAGCGCTTGCCCCAACAGTCAGTTGAAGGCTACACGGGGGGGAACTTTGTGTGAGTGGAGTTAGCATGTTCTCTCCATTCTGCATGGATTTCCTCCTGTCGCTAAACGTACAGCATAACCCGCATCGGTCAAATATCCCAATGCCCCAAAAAATTACTTGCTTATTACTCAGTTGGGATTATGCACAGCAGCAGCATGGCACACCACCCACACCCCGGGGCCCCGACAACGAAAACCTGACAGGACCCTCCTGAAAACGAGACTTGAGAGAGAACTCGCGAGTCGCCGAGGCTTTCACGAGCAAAGAAGGCGCAATTGATAGTAGGTGTTTCCATTTTCTGGCAATAAAACAGGTGTTAAGATGTTTCTGGCAAAGGAGGTCCCATGATGTAGCTGCCCAACCAGAGCTCTCGATGTCCTGATAGTGGCGTTGTCTTTGTGCTGTTCGCCTTGTGGCGTCCTCTGGTCGAACACTGTCAGTGAGACGAGGCTAAAGAAAGCCGTCTCTGGTGTGGACCAATCAGTTTCAAAGACGATGCACATACTGTCAGCATGTTTTTTTTGTCAGCATGTTCACCACAAGTCCTGTGTGCTTTAATGCAGACACGATTCCTTGCAAAGGTTTCAGTTTGGCGTTTTAACATCTTAACACAGCTGTTTTATTATTGCCAGAAAAGGGAAAACCCTATTATCATAATGTAATACTGGCAAACGGAGGTCTCGTGATGAAGGCGTAATGATCACACTGCAATACCGTACACGAGCGGCTGTCTGCCCCGGTCGCCAGGTGGCGATGTCGGGTTAGGCGAAGCAAAACCACTACGGTCGACAAAGGGGGCCCACCTCCCCCCCCCCCCAGTCTACAAACCCACCCTGTTCCACCTCTCCCACGCAGGTGGCCCCATTTACCTTCACGCAAATGAAAGTGGTCACACACCACGCATGCGAGATGCATCCCGCGCGCGTTTCGTTTGCCGTCCCTACCCCGCACCTCCGATTGGCACGGTTGGCTACGTACGGTGGCGGAGGAAGTTCAACGTAAGCGCCATTCGTAGAGACCGTCCTTTGACGGAGACGGTGGTGAACGGCTTGCGTCACGGCCCCGCCGACCCGAAATTGACATTGCCAGCTGCCGCCTGCGTCGGTGACGAATGCCCAAAGCGCCGCTCCTGGTTCTCCCTCTTGGTCGACTGAGCTGTATTAGCGATGACGTAAATACCACCCAGCGCTGGGGGGGGGGGGGACACAGGCGGCCCAAGCGTGGCGCCGACCACACCGCCCCACCACTCGTGTGCCGCGCCAAGCCCGTTAATAGGTGCTCGCAAACAGGACTTGCCACCAGTGGTCCGATGGGTTAAACGGGGAGAGACCCTTGTCATGTGCAGTTATAATTTACACCGCGGTCGTGCGCGCCTGTGCGTGTGTGTACACGTGTCCCACGTGCTAAATCGCGCGGTGCTGTTTAGCAATGATGGGGCGCGTGCGGTGTGTGGGAGACTTGCTTCCTAACGCCAATGGCTGTAATATACCACGGTGGGTGGTGTCGCACGTACTCGGACGAACTGAGTTCTCGTCCACGCTAGGTGGGTGGTTGGTGATGGTGCGTTCGGTTTTCCATGAATAGGCGTAACGTTTTTTAAAAAAAAAAAAATCTACATTTGCCTTAGAAATTAACACTCCATATGTATTATTAGTAGGGTTGTTAACATCTGTTTTGTGCGTTTTTTATTGCATTGCCGCTAACAGCACGAAAGTTTTAAGTCACCGGTTTTCCCGCGCGTGTAAAAATGTCCCAAGGGCAAAAATTCTTTATACCGTTTGGGTACGGCTTCACCCTCCTCCAAGACGCCTGGAGATGCATTCAAAGGACGAGCACTCCAGAGATTTTATACTTGAACGAGGCATTAGCAGCACCGGAGTTAAGTGGGCGCATTGAGCGGTCTGCTCTTCGAATGCACCTCCAGTCTGCGTGAAAGAGTAGACCAAATACAAGCCCCCTAGAGCCGCCTCTCGTGGAGGAGGCCCTTCTTCCAGCAGTCGCGTGGGCAAGCAATTGAAGGGCTGCACCTTAAATCTTTGACGTGAAGAGCGAGGGCGAATGTACCACGCGGCGACTCGTGCCGTCCGTACGCTCGCGGGGGCCAATCCGGTGCTTTCATTTATAAAATCCCGCCAGAATCGGGTGCCAGTGACGTATTTTTTTAGAACCGGTAACCAAATCTGAAAACATTTCCCCGCTTTACCGCCTATGGGTTTAAGGGCAATTATTAGCGGTCGTTCTTTCCGGCAGAAGCAGTCCGGAACGCCGACGCTCACCAAAGCAGTATTATCCAAGAGCTCCCAGGCTCTGTGAAACGTTCACATCGTAGCCAACGTAAGTCGTGGGTTTTAGTCAACGGCGGGTGCAGACAATAGAGATTTCACGGTGCTAAAGTACGTTTCTGCTGGAGTCCTAGGACGACGCTTCCTTGCTGCCAATAAGCTGTTATATATATCTAAAAGTATTTCTGCGTAGTTAAGCGATGTTCACGTGTCGGCTGTTAGACGGTGCCGAAGTACACTTCGTAACCGGCTCGGCGGCGAAGCAAGCGGCTCGCAATCGGAAGGTTGCCGGGTGAGGAAGAGTGGCTGACTTTGCCCATCATCCCTCCTTCGAGAAGATCAACAGGGGTTGGGTGCTGTGGAGAAGACTCGTCCCCACTGTAACAATGTGGATTTTTTCAACCACTGGCTCCTTGATGTTCACTTGAGAGCAAGAAATCACTTTAGACTTTTTTTTACAACGTACATTTCACACTGATGGAACTGCCGGTGATATTAAAGTCACTTCTATTTTTCTTTGTTGAACGTTGCAATTTTACATGTTTGACGTAGATTTTTTTTTTTAGACTAACGGGGTTTTTGGCGTGACAACACTAAACTCAAAAGTGCCTTACAAACGAAAAAAGTCCATACAAATAAAACTGTTGTTTAAAAAAAAATGTAAGAGTGGTTTTGTGCGTTGCCTAGTCCCCGTCGAGTGTTTCTGTAAAATTACGGCAGCCGTTCGAACGGACGTTTAATATTCACTTCAAGAGGTGGCCAAGTTGCTCGGAGGTCAAGAGTGCTGAGAGTACCATTCTCCGTGGTGTTGTGGACATAGAAGAACAATACAACCAGGGCTAATGCAACTGGCTCTGTCTGGCTCAACGACCACCACATCCAGAATACCATCTCGCTCTGGATATTGGGCACAGCTCCAGTCTACGAGAGGGCCCTAAAATATTTTGTGATAAATTAAGCTCTCGATTCAACGATGGACTTTTATGCACTACCCTCTGCCCCTCTATAACTGCCCAACGACCCCCCTCTGCCACCCACAGCAATGCCACGCTTATATTTAAAAAAAAAACATTCCAAACATCCGGTGGCTCACCACGGGCATGGTGTCACAAAAAGACACGTGCACCCAGCTGCGAGTTTGTACGGGTTTTGCTTTTATTCGCCATTCACGTTAAAAGTTCCCCCATCCCACACACACACAACGGACATTCCACAGGAGAACCGTAACTACCAACAAAGACGACTAAATCGCCCGCTCGCTCGCTCCCTCTCTGTGCGAGGCGGAAACTCGAGCTGCGCACGCGCGCGGAGCTGCCCGAGAAGTGTGCGAGGGCAGCTCCACTCGGCTGAAAATAATTGGACGGGGAACTGGAAATAAATAGGGGGCACGCACGCGGTCGCCATCGCCCTTGCCACGTGTTTCTGCCGGCCGAGTTCTTCTGGATGCGTGCCCGTCCGTCTACTCCGAGGTCGACTTCTTGAGGTAGGCGATGAGGTCCTTCCTCTCGCCCTCCTTCTTGATGCCGGCGAAGATCATCTTGGTGCCCGGGATGTACTTCTTCGGGTTCTCCAGGTAGACGAAGAGGGTTTCCTCGTTCCACACGATGCCTGCGCCCGCCGGGGATGAGGGGGAGACGGTTTAGAGTGATCGGTTCGCGATTGAAAAGTCCCGGGTTCGAGTCCCGCTCAGGTGTTCGACGCGCACATCGTTTATCGTCGTCGTCATAATCGCGTTGGGACTGACGAGCTACATGGCGGCAACACTTTTGGGGAGTCAACTCGTCGTCGCGCCTTGGGGATGTGGAATTTCCACTAGCGCCACAGGGTTGCTAATGGATGAGTGCCACCCAACATGGAGAGAACCAGTGGACTTGTCAGGTTTTGTGGAAACGTATGATACAACAACAAAAAATCACAACCTACTATGTGGGAGTGAAACATTAATTGAAATACTATTCTGAACCAATAAAATATTGTCCAGTGATATCAGTTGACTAAAAGCCCATTTTAGTCTGCAGAAAAATACACTAGTATCATGTAACAAAAAAATACAAATGCAGGTTGAAACTAAAGGTGGTTGCAAAAAATGTCCACATTTAAATGAAATATCGGTTCCCAAATCCTTTCCCAAATTATTTTTCATTACAAAAAAAACTGCAGCCTAAATGCACTGAGGTAGACTAGTTTTAAAAAGTAGTTTCATCATCCATTTTATATCCACTGCTGGATAAAGACTGCCTCTAGTCATCACCATCCATCACTACTTCGACACTTGTACTACCGGTGTCAATGTTTTTGAATTACCTCTCGTGTAAAAACACCAATTGGTGTTTTCGACAAGGTTAGATAATGGTTGACCATTTCACGATTTTGTGAGTGATCCACTAACCCCTCAACCTCCACAGTGCTGAATGACGGGCATGCACAAAGCCACAAGTGGATGCAAATGGGAGTATCTAACGCAAAGTCCTTGAGTAAATATGGACAAAGCGAAATGGAAAAGGGCACCGCTGACATCTTGAAGAACGAACATCATGGCACGCAGTGAGAAAGAGACAACTAATAAAGCACGGCATTACAACAATGTTATAAGGCGCCTTGTAACAACACAATGGCACGCACACAAAGACAACAAAGACCCCCCCCCCCCACCACCCGTATAGCCTGAACACAAAGACACACACAGTGGCAGATACACACAGGCAAATGCAAACCGATGCCAGGAACGCGAGGCAACCCTTGCAGCCTTAAATAGCTGTGGCCAAACGGTTCGTGACATTTCAGAAGCTGTTCCACAGACCCGGCACAGCACCCTAGTGACTGGAGGGGACTCCGTAGCGATAGAGTTACTGACATAACCGGGCCGAGCCTTCCACCAGCAGGCCGTTTATGACTTTGAGACGCCCTCTTGTCTATGATTAGCCGGGACGGCACAGTCAGTACAAAGCAGCATCAGATGTTACGGCACTGCGGAGATCTTGTGATGCAAGGCAGATGTCACCTAAAGAAACACCCCTTTGAATCGTAAACTCCAATGTGTTTTTGGGTTGCACCGCGCGTTGATCAGCACCATCTCCGCCGTTTCACTCCACGTGGTGGGAGCTTCTTCTTCGGGAACTGAATGTTCTCAAAGTTCCAATGCTGAACCAACGCCTCCCGCACACCGTGCTGGTCAAGGGGGCTGCTTGACCATACTTCACTGGTTAGGTCAACCGAGGGGGGCTATACCCAGGACCCGGTTCGGATATCACTCGCTACCGATGTTAGCCGTTGCCAGGGGTACCATTCTGGCGACTGGGTTTTTCACACCACTGCACCAGTTCAACGCTCGGCCACATCTTAACATCATAGGCGAGTGATACCTGGCCTGTCAATACCCCCGCACAGCGACCAGCGTGGTGAGGTGTGGTCAAACAAGCCCCCACGTCCAGCAGTGCCCTGAGACAGGGCTGCAACATTTATATTACGGATTATTATCACTGTTGTCTGCCTGGCTCAAATAAGCGATGGGGCGACATCCACTTTTATGGTGTTGGTGGAAATTCTACATTCCGGTGATGGGGGTACCACTGTAAAAAGTGAGAGAGCGGTGGAGTGAAATGCATAATGGTCGAATTAGCATGTAGCTGCTGCTGCTGTTAAAAAAAGGCTCGGCTCTACATTTCTTTTTCAACTGCCCTCTGGTCCCTTCCCACACCATTCATCCAGAGCAGGGAGGGGACACAGTTGGTTCACTGTGGAGGGTCATTATACTCTTGCACGGTGCGTGTGCCGACCTGTGTTTAATTCCGAGGAAAACCAATCCCTGCATGGGCATGGGCATGGTCCCATGGCGTTTTGCCTTTTTAAATGGACCCCCGATCTTTCTCGGAAGCCACCGAGTCCATCCCCGCCCAAAGTGCTTTAATGAGTGTTGGGCGCTGCTTATCTATGCCCACTGCTAATTCGGAGTCAGTGGTGGAGCTTCCACATTGGGATTCTTCGGGGAAACGGTTTCGCTTCAATTTACACAACAGCGGCGGCTGCTGCTGCTGCTGCTGGCGTTTCTTGCGTGAAACGGCGTGAAGTCACCAAGCGGTGACGACCGCTCCAGAAACACTCGTACGCAGACACGGACACACACCATAGACAAAACACTTGACACACAAAGATCCCCCCCGTATAGCCTGAACAGACTGTTGGAAGAAGTGCTGTTTGCGAGTTCCTATGAAGGCAGGCACGGCACACAAAGGGGCCGGCACCACTCCCAGCCGCCTTTGTCCCCCTGGTGGCGATGTTTACGCACTGCACCAGGACCGGTTGAGATAATCGCCACTGGTGTTGGCCGTGAGCGGGAATCGAACCCGGATAGCCGGGTTCGTAGCGCGGCGCGCTAACCACTACACTACCGCTCCCCATTACACTTACAGTTTTTTTTGCTGACACACACACACTCACGTAAACACATAGTGACAGCAATAACAGAACGTGCGCGCGTTCACTTGGCCGCACCCACCCTTGGACTTGTTGGCGTCGGTGTAGCTGAAGCCGGGAGCCTGGCCGGTCTTGCGGCCGAACAGACCCGACAGGTTGGGGCCCGTCTTGTGCTTGCCGCTCTTCTCCACCGTGTGGCACTGGGCGCACTTCTGCACGAACACCTTCTTGCCCTTTTCCACGTCACCCATCTCCACTGCTAGCTCCACACAACTGATCTGGTGCGGGGTCGGGGGTGCAAAGCGGTAGAGGGTTTTGTAATACTAATTTGCCATTGATTGAACGCACGCACATCGTGGCCCGCGGCACCTCAAGAGTGCTTTTGCACACCGAAAGAGCCTTGCATCTTATATCAACGGGCATCCCCAGTGACCCTGTGCAACAAAAAGTGCGACTCGGCACCCGAGCCTGCAAGCGGGCGTTCGTCTCTGGCAGCCAGGGGACGGAGATTGCCGCGCGTTTTAAAAACTAAGTAAATTACGAGTGCTCGTTTTTGCGTGCAGATCTGGACCGGATGCCCTCGCGGGATCCTTTGACGCACCCTCCGAAGGCGACGTTCTGTTTACGGTCAACATGCCAGCGAGCGCCGACGAGGGCGGCCTGCCCGGAGCGACAAGATGGCAATGGACGCGCTGGCGCTTGGGCCACGTCACGGTGCAATGTGGCCTCGTACGGCGGGGCAATTGCCCCAGAACTCTGCAATTGCGCTCCGCAGGTCTTGCGCTTCGTCGAGCCGAGCTCCGTTATGCCCGAGACTGTGCGTACGGTTTATTCACACACGCCTATGACGGGATTGTTGGGACTGTTCTTCACTTTTCCTTTCGTATGGATTAATAGCGGCAGATCGAAGATGTTTATTTAGACTCGCTATCCGCTCAAAATTGTTGTCCACTCCTTTAAAGGGGCGAAGACAGCATCAGCGGCGGAGCGCCTAAGATGTGGTCGTTGGTTTGGGATTCGTGGCCGCACTCGCAGGCCGCCGAATCTTTGACGCGCCATTTGTGCATCGGGTGGACGCATCGGCCACACGGCCCGGTCCCGATTCAGCTGATGGTCGATCATTGGCGGCGTGGAAGGTTTGAACCGGGGAGGGTTCAATGGTAGGGTCCTGTATGAGATGTTTATTTTTTTTTGCCACTGTGTGTGAATTTAAGCGCTAGTTACTGCCGAACCTGTTTGCAGTTGGATCTGGCACGGGTTTCGCGTAAGCAATTTGTTTTGCTTAATGTTCGTTTGCACATTCCCTCCCTGAAATGTCCTGTAACTGCCGTGGCTGCAAACCGTCCTAGGCTGTGGCCGTCCTTGTAAAAGAGCTGCTCATTTTAATGGGCCTTACCAGCTCAGTCTATTCACCTCTATGTAACTCTATGGATCTTTATGTAATTCTACAGATTTAAATGCAACTCTATGTAACTGCAGTCACTCTTCATATGCCAGACCATGCCTGTGGGTAACACAATCACTCATTAAGTAATTATCACAAGAACTTATAAATCAATGGAGTGATATTACCAATGTAAATTATTGTTGGAACATAATTTTTTGAAGCACTAACTTCATGGGTGATGTGACTATTGTGTTTGTCAATGAATAAATAATTTGTCAAGAAATGTAATGTTTTTTTGACCAAATGAGCGATAGCGATACCTTGACTTTCGTCACTTCGCTCTTTCGGCCGTTTTCAATTATCACCACATTTCAAATTTCATCCACGCGCTTTGCTCTTTCGTCCCATTTCATCCCAAAACCTTCCACGATGTAAGCGCCACCCTTTTGGTTCAGTCTTTGAATGGGAGTCGTCCAGTGAGCATCTCCTATGTTTGTCTGGTCATATATTATTAATAACGTACTTGTTTCTGTGATTATACCGTAAACAATTCATAAGTTATTTTTGTGATAACAGTATCATAGTACAGTGTTCACAGGTTTTTTTTCGTGATGATAAAACGCGTAAACAGTATTCATACTGTGCTTATGTTTGTGATTACTAACGTGCATGTACGTTTTCCGCTGGCCAAAATGAATTTTCAAGCTAAATAAAGGCTCTGCTTTCACATGCGTCCATTTTTGACATTCGTCCATGCTCTGGTCCCTAAGCAAACGGAAGTGCGAGGTATTCCTGTACGATAATCAGGATACGACGATATTTTGCAGACCTCACCTCTTACGATACATCAGTCCATTAGAGGTTTTTGGGTTATATCGCGTAAATATAAATGTGTCTGCCTGATGATGCTAGTTGTGATCACTGACGAAACGTCGTACTCGAATTGTAAATGTCGTGGGTTTACTCTCCAACACACCGGTGTGTTGTACTAGTAACGAATTGGCATGGTTTGTTTACGTGACAAACCTTACTAATTGGCTGTGTCGGGTGGTAGCGGGTTTAACGACACATTTATATTTACGAGATCTAACCCAAAAACCTCTATTATGGATATTGGTCCAGACAATGTACGTGTTATACATCACAGTACCACCATTGTAAGTCTAATTAGGAGGAATGGGAATGGCATTGTCATCCCTCTGGTGTTGATTAAATGAAGTCTCCACTTTTTAGAAATTTGACAGTAGTTATCCAGTGGATAACGTCATGCCTGTCATGGAAATGTGGAATTTCCAACACAAGTGGAGAACTTTAAAACTATATATATTTCAACTGTCTCTCTGTTGGATGATGGCCTCATGGGATTTCCGTAACCAGGTTTGTGAAGCAGCCCCAAGACCAGTTCACGTATCACTTCGCCACTGATGTTAGCCGTGGCCAAGGAATTTAACTCAGTTTACGGGGCTTCAAAGAGCGCGGGTGTGCTTTCCATTGCTCCGCCACTCCACCCCTGTGATTCCTACAGTAGTGCAGATGTTTTGTCAAGTGACTTGGATGAGCTCTGTTTCAAATACTCATTTTATTACAGAAAACACCACTGACGCTTTGAGTTAAGTACACCTTAATTCTACAAGGAGCCCTGCAGAAAACAAACAGATTAACTTGGGTTTAATTAGAATGAAGATGTTGAAATTGATTTGGAATTTGTAACTCCCGAGTCCCATTCAGAATCGAATGATCGTAAGCCCAGAGCGGTAGCACTTTTCGTGTTCATTTAACTTTGAGGAACAGCCAAATAAGGAGTAAGCTCCGATTTGAATTGGCTATTGTCCCAGCCTATAGGAGTGACATTGCCACCGACTCTTGGATAATCCGAGTTACCCTTAAGCTCTGAATTAAGGTTCGCGTTATGCACTCTGAAGTCGCCAGCCTTAGCTTGATTCTCAGTCACGGGTAACATCGGTTGCAAGTGATATCTGAACCGGTCCCCACCAATCAGTAATGGCCAGCATAGTAAACGACCCCCACAACCTACACAGCATGGGTGAGGCCTTCATCCAGCATGGATGAGGCCTTCATCCAGCAATGGATTGGCAAAGGGCAAAAGGCTGGGAATGAAAACCAAATCCAAGTGCATTCTCTCGTCAATGAACCACGTTAGAGCGCTCATCTCCGAAGGAAGCCGTTACGAGGCAGCGGTGGAAATTCCGCATTCCTATAATAGGGGGGCGAATCTACTCATCAAGATGACTAACACATTCGCTAAATGTTCCGACTCACAGCCACTTCCGCCACGTATTGTCACGATGAGAATCTCCCTCGAAAACTACAATTTCCTCAAAGGCATCAGTACCAGAGAAGGAAATGACCGCTGTGGTACAAGCATTGAACGATTTGTTTAAATAGATCAAGATTAAGCCCTACAGAAACCCCCATGGACTAAACTACAGTCTATCACAAACCCCATTTGCAATAAGCTGCAGACTGATTTCCATTCAATTGCAGTTATAATCGTGAAAGAAAATATTTTCCACAATAGATTAAGTGACTCGATTTATACACATTTTGGTTAAATAAGCCAAATAAGTGTTGGTATTTATGCCTATATGAGCTGTGTATTCTTGGTTCTTTCGGTAAAGTCACGTAGAAGGGAAACAATAAAATAATAAAAATATAAAACAATAAAATTCTCACGACGTTTCGACTGCAACACAAGCAATCATCATCACAGCAAGAACATTTGATGATTGCTTGTGTTGCAGTCGAAACGTCGTGAGAATTTTATTGTTTTATATTATATTTTTATTATTTTATTGTTTGCCTTCGACGTGACTTTACCGAAAGAACCAAGAATATGAATCCCTGCAGTCACGAAAGCTTTAAATTAAAAAAAGTGTCTGTGTACGTTTATGTTTGCATACAACCTTTTACATTGTCCATCAACCCACCATGAGATTAACTAACACCCATCATGCCAAAGTGCACGCACACAGACAGACACACACAACCCGGTCCATACATCAACCAAGCAAATACAACTCCAAATAGCATCAACCGGCTAAATAAGCAAATTAAACTAGCCAAGGTGTTTACCTTACAATAGAAGACAACTTACGATGTGGGTCACTCTTCTGAAAGGCAAGGAAATAAAACTACACCGAGGTGAAGCCCTCCACACCAAAGGTTACTAACCTCAAATTAAAACCTGATCATCCGTCAAATGACTTTCGATTAATCCCTCAATAATTCCAAAGTCTTTGGCGACAATTAGGTAGGCTCTTATTTACCGTTTTGAAGCATCGCCTCGGTTAAAGGAATATGATAATACTACTGGCGAGAAGTTGTACCCAAAAGAAATGAACGGGCCGACAGAGAGAGAAAGAACGTACGTACAACCTTCAACTCATGGACCCGGGCCAAAAATGATACAACACAGTAACAACGTAACACACCGCTTAAGTGTCACGTCAATGTCAAACTTGCGTCCCCCACAGCACTGGGGGTGTGGGTGTGCCACCTCCAATTGGTGGTCCAGAGCCCCAATTGGTGGTCTGGAGTCAATGAAGGAAATGACACATTCCCAGGACGAGGTGCCAATCGGCCTATGAGATCGGCCACCGTTGACTTCCCACAAAGTAGTCACTTGTTTTATATTCACTGTGGAGGGGATGGTGATTGTGATGGGCTGAGTTGACCAACAGACTGGAATTTGATTTCGCTTAGTGCTGCCACATTGTCCAAGTGAGTAAAGAGTGACACTTTAAAATTACACATTATATACCAGTACAAGCATTTTTTTATTTAAAAATAATATACGAGGCTGCTTACTCAACTCATCACTCGGGAAGTATTAATGGTCCTATTTAAAATGTTTGAAAGTTATAGATACCTATGGCAGAGGAGCGGTCAGTCAGGTAGTTACGTGGACATTCACTGACGAAAGAAAGTTGTTAACGAGCAAGGGCCAACACTAGGCTTTTCTCAAAGTCAAATTAGAGGTCACAGCTTTATGATAAGTCCGTTTCTCGTTCAAATAGGTGCACAGACGGAGCGGTGAAATCAACTCAAGTGCCGGTGACTGGTAGACTATGCTAATATCGCGGGTGATGTCTTGTGGGGAGCCTTCATCTAGCAGTGGATTGACCATGGTTGCTGCTGCTGATAATGCCCTAATAGTGGCAATTGCACATTCCATAGCGAGAGCCAAATATAGAATGGAAATGTCCTCCGCCTAGGCTCAAGAAAGTGTCGTTGCCACGACAAGGCACTTGCCGCTTGCAGGGTGACAACCTTAACAAAGTCAAATAGGACACAGACGTCAAAGAGCTATCCCACTCAACTGAGTATGGGGACGACGCCGATGATCCCGTTTACAGACCTGAGCCATGTGCTGTTAAATTTCACGTTCCTATGATAAGAGCCAGCCATTTAATCGGACAATCACTTGACAACTGCCCTCAAAGTCAAACAAGTCAAAGTTGTTTCCCCTCTCCAATGAGTTTGGAGATGCGCCCATGTCCCGTTTACGATCCCCCCCCCCCACCGTCCCTGTAGTAATAACTAAACTACACGTTCCCGTGGCGGGACCAAGTACGATAACTCCATCTTCGACCGCGCACAATCAATCCATCACCGACAAGCTAAAGAGGCATCCCCCCCCCTACTGCTCAAATGAACGTGAGGATGCGCTAGTAACCCGTTTAAAAGCGATCGGCGAGTAATTGGAAATTCCGCATTCCAATGCTGGAGAACAATTATTCCGAAAACAATGCCAAACTGTTGACTTAACAGGAAGAAACAAAGCAGGCTGTGATCAATACGATCTCGCACTCAAGTGACTTTGGCGAGGCACTTGTCTCCACCTTTAAAGCCCCCTCCTCAGCCAACCGTGGAAATTCCACATTCACGTGACAGGGGCCAATCACCACAGAACATTACGACTGCACCAACAATTACAACCTCGACCATAACCAATATACCGACTCTCGCCAGACAACGACCACTCGTGACTTTGTTGAAGCTACTTTTTTTTAGTTTTAAACACTCGCTTGAGAGTGGGGAAGGAGGCGGCCCGAACCGAAGCCAGCGACTGGACATTCCACATTCCCGCGACGGGAGACAGCGACACTTTACAACTCCATGAAGGGCCGAGCCTCGAACCACGTTAATAATACAACGTGTAAATAACCAACCCTGACATCGCACACGTAGAAACGAAGACAACCAAACAAGTTTATTGTAAAAAAAAACAATTCACTCAACAACATCGACTGAACACGCGACTAGTTCTTCACCGAGACGCCGCGAGGCGAGTATCAGCCCCCATCCACCTCGACATGAGCCTGAGGCGATTTTCATCTTTAAAAAGAACGGTCCGCTGCCGGACGGACGCGCTGTCGTCGCTTTAACTTTACACCCTCGTGAGGTGATTCACATCGATGCGGTATCAATGTGTGTGGTGGTGGAGGAGGAGGTGGTGGTGGTGGAGGAGGTGTGGGGAGAGAAAAGCGCGGGAACTCACTCACCTGCTGCACGTGCCGCCGGCCGTCTAGCGCTCTGTGAACTCCGCGAAGGTCAGAGGCGGACGCCGGCGAGTGACGTCAAGCCGGACGTGACGCACGGTTTTTTTTACTTCCCAATTGCATATTTTATTGGGGGTAAGGTTTATTAATTTAAACAACTCAATAACGCGTTTCGTACGATTTAGTCCGTGCATTTTTATGGCGTTGATTATATTTTACTTGCATGCGATCAATGGTTTTTTTTTTGAGAAAAAAAATATTTGTTAAAACGGTCTTCCCCTCCCCTTTCTTCCCGCCCCGAACAATTTCCGGTCTCGTGACGAGCGTACGTGACCGGAAGTGCGTTCGGTTAGTGACGTCACCGTACGAGCCGACGAGCGCCACGTGGGAGAGGGTGGGCCGGTGACCTTTGACACCATTGTCTCACAGACCGGAGTGCTGGTGCCTGTATTCAGTGCTGGTGGCTGTATTCACTGTGGTGGCTGTATTCAGTGTGATGGCTGTATTCACTGTGGTGGCTGTGTTCAGCGTGATGGCTGTATTCACTGTGGTGGCTGTATTCAGTGTGGTGGCTGTGTTCAGCGTGGTGGCTGTATTCAGTGCTGTGACTGTATTCAGTTTGGTGGCTGTATTCAGTGTGGTGACTGTATTCAGTGTGGTGACTGTATTCAGTGTGGTGACTGTATTCAGTGCTGTGACTGTTTTCAGTGTGATGACTGTATTCAGTGTGGTGACTGTTTTCAGTGTGGTGACTGTATTCAGTGCTGTGACTATTCAGTGTGGTGGCTGTATTCAGTGTGATGACTGTATTCAGCGTGGTGGCTGTATTCAGTGTGGTGGCTGTATTCAGTGTGGTGGCTGTATTCACCGTGATGGCTGTGTTCAGTGTGGTGACTATTCAGTGTGATGGATGTATTCAGTGTGGTGGCTGTATTCAGTGTGGTGACTGTATTCACTGTGGTGACTGTATTCACTGTGGTGGCTGTATTCACTGTGGTGGCTGTATTCACTGTGGTGGCTGTATTCAGCGTGATGGCTGTGTTCAGTGTGGTGACTATTCAGTGTGATGGCTGTATTCAGTGTGGTGGCTGTATTCAGTGTGGTGGCTGTATTCAGTGTGGTGGCTGTATTCAGTGCTGGTGACTGTATTCAGTGTGGTGGCTGTATTCACTGTGTTGACTGTATTCAGTGTGGTGACTTCAGCGTGGTGGCTGTATTCAGTGCTGTGACTGTATTCAGTGTGGTGGCTGTATTCAGTGTGGTAGCTGTATTCAGTGTGGTGACTGCATTCACTGTGGTGACTGTATTCACTGTGGTGGCTGTGTTCAGTGTGGTGGCTGTATTCAGTGTGGTAGCTGTATTCACTGTGGTGACTGTATTCACTGTGGTGACTGTATTCAGCCTGATGGCTGTGTTCAGTGTGGTGACTATTCAGCATGGTGACTGTATTCAGTGTGGTGACTGTATTCAGTGTGGTGGCTGTATTCACTTTGGTGACTGTGTTCAGCGTGATGGCTGTGTTCAGCGTGGTGGCTGTATTCAGTGCTGTGACTGTATTCAGTTTGGTGGCTGTATTCAGTGCTGGTGGCTGTATTCAGTGCTGGTGACTGTATTCAGCGTGGTGGCTGTATTCAGTGCTGTGACTGTATTCAGTTTGGTGGCTGTATTCAGTGTGGTGACTGTATTCAGTGTGGTGACTGTATTCAGTGCTGTGACTGTATTCAGTGTGATGACTGTATTCAGTGTGGTGACTGTTTTCAGTGTGGTGACTGTATTCAGTGCTGTGACTATTCAGTGTGGTGGCTGTATTCAGTGTGATGACTGTATTCAGCGTGGTGGCTGTATTCAGTGTGGTGGCTGTATTCAGTGTGGTGGCTGTATTCACTGTGGTGACTGTATTCAGCGTGATGGCTGTATTCAGTGTGGTGGCTGTATTCCGCGTGATGGCTGTATTCAGTGTGGTGGCTATATTCAGTGTGGTGGCTGTATTCAGTGTGGTGACTGTTCAGCGTGGTGGCTGTATTCAGTGTGGTGACTGTATTCAGCGTGGTGACTGTATTCAGCGTGATGGCTGTGTTCAGCGTGGTGGCTGTGTTCAGTGTGGTGACTATTCAATGTGGTGGCTGTATTCAGTGTGGTGGCTGTATTCAGCATGATGGCTGTATTCAGTGTGGTGGCTGTATTCAGCATGGTGGCTGTATTCAGTGTGATGACTGTATTCAGTGTGGTGGCTGTATTCAACTTGTTGTATTCCGTCTGGCCGCTGTGCCCGCAATACTAGCGGCGAGAACCGGCCCACCACCACCCCCATCACCGCCCCCCCACCACCCCTCCCCACTCCCCCCAAGGTCGTTCCGCCAGAGGTCACTCCTGGAAAGCAGTCCGCCGTGACGTGGTAAAGCTGTGGCCCCGCTTGCGCAATAACCGCACCAGCTGAGTTACCCATTCTCATTTCCAGGTGTCCAGCCAGTGTGGGTGGATGTCTACACGTCACGTGTGCCTCTCCTGACACGGTCATTGTGGACCCACGGGGAGAGACAAAGATCCCCCGTATAGCCCTCATAGACTTTAGGGGCAAGTGTTGTTAGCGAGCACGTATAAAGGCCGGCACGGCACACGAGGGGGTGGGTGGCCAACACCACTGCCCGACCGCCTTTGTCTCCCCAGTGGCGATGTTTACACACCGCACCAGGTACTCATTTGAGGCTGAGTCAACCTAGGGGAGGCCCAGGACCGACACACACGCGCACCGTTTCTGATCTTGGCTGTACCATACCATACCCTTCAATCCTTTATCAGTGCCTATCTTATTCTAGACCAATCAGAGTTCATTGATCACCCAGTGCACTTATAAATCGCAACGCTCCTACAAAAATACATGTTTTGCCCGTATTGAAACGGCTGTACGCCGTATGGACCTGAAGACTCAATTTCCCTGTACACGGAGCAAGGGGCCGTCCATAAATGACGTCACGCGATTTTGGACGATTTTTTACCCCCCCCCCCTCGTCACACGGCCTCACAAAAAGTCAGACCCCCCCCCCCTCAAATATGACATCACAAAGCTCTGCCCCCCCCCCCCCACACACAAAAAAATAAACCATGCTTCAAATCGCTTTAAACTATTGTCATTGTAGTGCGTATTTAATGTGGCGCTGCACTCTGATGTTGTAGGAGAAAACATTTATTAAAAAGTAAATTTCATTAAGTAGAACGTGTTGTCTATATTTATTTATAAAGTTGCGCATTTTGATGTGACGTCACATTTCTCACCCCCCCCGCCTCGTCACACATCGTCACAAATGTCTGACCCCCCTCCCCCCCTAGGTGCGTGACGTCATTTATGGACTGCCTCTAACCCGTATGGCTTGACAGGTATTCAGCACCGTGTCAGCGTTTGTGACCCAGCCATTATGAATCCCCTATGAAATAGACGGGAGGCCTCGACTGGTCCATAATACAGGTTTTTTTTGGGTTAGATCGCGTAAATATGAATTATATTTATAAAATATAAATATTTATAAAATATATTTCATATTTACGCGATGTAACCACGAGAAAACCCCCTCTACTGTGGGTGATATTGGTCGCGAAAGCCTCCTACTATGCGTTACACCGCCTATGCATGTGTTCTAGCCCAGCTTCTCAGCGGCAGTCGGCGGAATCTCTTGACGCAGCCATTGTGAACCCTAAACATCCTCGCGGCCGCCAAGGGATTTGGGAATGTGCATCGGCCACATTCCGGTGCATCGGCCACATTCCGGCGCACGGGGCACACTGCCAGACGTTGCCTGGAGATGACGCGCGCGCAGCCAAAGCGGAAACACGTGGGGGCAGGCCTCACCTGCACGTGGGGGCAGGCCTCACCTGCACGTGGGGGCAGGCCTCACCTGCACGGGGGGGCAGGCCTCACCTGCACGTGGGGGCAGGCCTCACCTGCACGGGGGGGCAGGCCTCACCTGCACGTGTGGGCAGGGCTCACCTGCACGTGGGGGTAGGCCTCACCTGCACGTGTGGGCAGGGCTCACCTGCACGTGTGGGCAGGGCTCACCTGCACGTGTGGGCAGACCTCACCTGCACGTGGGGGCAGGGCTCACCTGCACGTGTGGGCAGGGCTCACCTGCACGTGGGGGCAGGCCTCACCTGCACGTGGGGGCAGACCTCACCTGCACGTGTGGGCAGGGCTCACCTGCACGTGGGGGCAGGCCTCACCTGCACGTGGGGGCAGACCTCACCTGCACGTGGGGGCAGACCTCACCTGCACGTGTGGGCAGGGCTCACCTGCACGTGGGGGTAGGCCTCACCTGCACGTGTGGGCAGGGCTCACCTGCACGTGGGGGCAGGCCTCACCTGCACGTGGGGGCAGACCTCACCTGCACGTGTGGGCAGGGCTCACCTGCACGTGGGGGTAGGCCTCACCTGCACGTGTGGGCAGGGCTCACCTGCACGTGTGGGCAGGGCTCACCTGCACGTGTGGGCAGGCCTCACCTGCACGTGTGGGCAGGGCTCACCTGCACGTGGGGGCAGGCCTCACCTGGCCCACCCCCAGGGGTGGGTGAGCCAGGTGCAGGAGTTTCGCACTCTTGTGGGTGGTGAGCGAGTGAGGTCGGGGGGTAAGGGGACTCGACACACACACAGGCCGCTATGGGTCGGTCTACGCCAGTGGTTCTTAAACTTTACCGCAGTCTTGCACCCCCTTTGGTTCTCATTATTTTAAAAAAAGCACGTGTACAATGTTAATAAATACATAGGGGTTGATGCAACAAAGTAATTTGTTACCTAACCCCACCCCCTCTTCCTACCCCACCCCCTCCTCTTCCTACCCCCATCCCCCTCCTCTTCCTACCCCCATCCCCCCCTCTTCCTACCCCCCCTCTTCCTACCCTGCCCTGTTTCGTGGCGCCGTGCACGAGAGAGGGATAAGTGATGAAAGCGGTCGCGTTCGAGGGCTGTGAGCGCCACCGCGTGCACGCGCATGGGCACCGACGCCGAGGAGTCCATGGGATGGGGCGTTGATGTTCCAGCTCCACAGCAACAAAGAAAAACAGCCACCACCGGTTTACACGGATCGGTTACACGGGGATCCTTCTGCTGATGTTGCTGAAGTCAGC